AATATACTCTAAATCCTATAATATCAGTCTGCTACAAAAAAAATAATATTTTATTAGCATGTAGTATTTACGTACGAAATTTCAGAGGTAAATCAAATGTTTTTACTTATACTCTATATAATTTGAATAGTTTTTTAGCGAATATAACCATACTATGCAGAACCATCACTTTATACAATTGGAACTAGCAAATTATATATCAATTACAATTTAGATTTTGCTCGATACCTGTGCAGTTGGTGAGTTCCATCAGTAACACTACATCAAACTTTTAATGTTGTTTCATACTCTTATCAACATGTATTTCAAAAAATTGTAGGTTTGAAAATGATACATATGCTCGAAAGTTAGTTACGTGATTGAGGTCAAGCAATTTTACATCATCACAAGCATTATTGATAGAAAATTCAAAGAGAATATAGATATCTGAACATACAATCATACGTACGGTAAACTTACTCTATTTAATTTAATTATGACACAAATTTTTTTAAATTTATAATCATAATCTATACCTTCTTTCATTCTTACTAGGTTAAATATTTTTGAATACTTACTTACATTCAGAGCATTAATATAGAAAACATGTTTTATGAGCTATGCAAAAATTGTGGATAACTATGTGAAGGTCGTTTTTAAAAAACAGTGTGTATACATTGTAATGACGTGGTCGACACTGTTGTTAGGTAATTAATTTCATATACCTTTAATTTCAACAATTTTTTTTGTGTTATATATAACATTTTATTTGTCAAACAGATACAATGTTAACATACAAATCAAAGATTCCAGTGGTAACATGCATCTTAATCTACAGGACAGACATGCACGATTCATATTTGGTTGTAATGCTTCTTATCTCAGATAATTACAAAGGAATGTAGAATTTCTTGATATATGTTTATTTTTTATAATGCTATTTATAAACTATGTAAAAAAAAATACACTAATTTTGAATTTCGCACGTACTTAATTCTCAGGAAAATGGTGGTAGGTTGTTCAACCAACGAATCAATTGATGCAAAGATCGTGCATTTTCATTTGTAGTACACATTCCACAAAATTCAACAGAATTAATTAAATCACTAATTTTGGCTTTCATATTAAAAGTTGATTGATGTGAAGAGTGTTCGCACCTTCATGCAAGATTATCAAATCGAATGCATAATATTTGTAAGTATTTTATTTTAACAACATTTAATTATATTCATTTTTATTCATATATCATTCATTTTCTAATATAAATTTTTATTATTTTTTCAGAATCTATCTTCCGAAAAAAGATAATTTTTGAATAATATATACATTCTATCATATTTCAAACTATTGTTAGACAGATATTATATTTTATTTGTGTTGCTATAATTTTTTAATATTTTTTAATTTACTCTTTTATTTTTATTTTTTCAATAATGTCAGTACCGTGTGTAGTACGGGTATTTACGCTAGTGTATCCTGTATCCTGCTTAATCCGTTAAAACACACCACTACTATCACTCGTTTAACGTAACGTAAGTAGCTGATCCTATATAAAGGGAAAAAAAAAAAAAAGGAAACGATTAGCTGACAGTGTAAGTTAATAGTGTCGGTCACCTGTCCCCACCTGGTTCCTCGTGACTCGAGAAGCACCCACCCTTTATCTTTTCTTTGACTCTCAATCCAAGGGTGAGTGAAACCGCGAATCTTTTCAGTTTTTTCACCACTCCAAAAGTTTACTATTTTATAGCTTTTGGCAGGTATCTGTATCTAGCTTTTGGGGGTCGTCAGTTATGGATGGATGGATGGACGATAATGAAGCAACGCATGGCCCCGCGATTTCTATGTGCTATGATGCGGCCTATGATCCCTTTTCCTGCCACGTGTCTTCCACATATGTGTCAGTTACAAACAATCTATTGTCATTCTCATTCAAGGCAAAATTTATTGAAGTCTTTTGTTTTCTTACGGTGAATTCATTTGACTGCGGATAAGGACCGGGGATAATCACAGGAAGTGGCCCTAAGGTTTGGTATGTTTTACATTTTACCTCCTAATATTTTATTTTTCTCACTTTATCCCCTCCATCACTCCTACTTAGCAAATGGATTGTTCAAACATTGCAATTGACGAAAACACCTCCCATTTTAATCACTAAATTTCTAACGAAAATGCCACTTTTCATGTTCTATAAAGAAGAGATTCCCAATGGTTTTCTTGTGTGCTTTGATCATTCGTCACATTAAAAGAATTTCTCTTCTTCATCCGAAACATTTTGCAACTACAACAAGAAACAAAAAAAAAAGGTTTCACGTTTTTTCAAGTTCATTTTCTTGGTTTTCGTTTAGATGTTATTCATCACATCATATTGAATAACCAATCCAAAGAAACCTGTGAATGTAATAAAATGGCATCCTTAAGAAGGTCTTGACATTGAAAATTTTCGGAAGGAGATTTCTTGGATATTTAAATTAAAACTTTTGATTTTTACAATGGATTAATTATTTTTCGATTGGTACTTTTTAGTAAAATAATTTGAAATATAATTTTTTTTTAAGAATCATCATTCATGCGATTACTTCAAGTGGATAAATTTGAAACGTTGCGCAAAAGAAAAAAAATATATACTATATCGGACTTGAACTTGTGAACATTTATATATATTCATTATTTTTTTAGAATAGTATTGTCCTTTTGATGTCAACAGTTTGCACCATTACTAAATGTTTATTTTAACTACCAGTTAAGGAAATAAAGTGTGAGAAATAAAATATTAGGATATAAACTATAAAATACACCATATCTCTCACTAAAGATAATAATTTAAAATTTAAATATTTAACTATATTTAATTTAAAAGTCAATAACACTTCTTTTACTATTAACGGCGAATTTCACTCGTAGGAATGATACCAAAAAAGAACCGTAAAATCTCTCAAAATTTCAAGCATGAATTTTTTTTTTTTTTGTAACAAGTTTATTTACAAACACGTTTATCCAATATCATTACAATTTACAATTCTTAAAAAATCCAATCAAAGTTCGAGATGGTGCTTCACAGGTTCTATTTTACACCAATTTACTTTTAAGATGCAAACAAGTTGGAATGCGACCTAAATAAATTTAGGTAGATTGTAAATTAATTGAAATAGGATATAAAAAATTTTAAAATAACCATTTTATATTGAAATGGTCTGAATTAAATGGTGAGGTCCCGAATCCATCAAAATACAGCCAGGTTCTCAGCAATGATGCAAGTGCACGTACTTCGTAGAACTTCCTTTTATGAATTACGTATATATTACCATCCTTCTGCCTTCTGACATCAAATACTCCATCATTCCTACTTTGATAGTCCTGTTTTTTTTTTTCACACAATTTAAGAAAAAAATAGTTAATTTTGTTGGAAAAATAAATTTTGATTGCTATTTTCCTAAAATACTCTCACATTAAATATGGTACAACTTTATGAGAATTTGAATTGATGGTAAAAAAAAGAATCAACTCTCATTAAATGGGATAGATTTATAGTAACAACTACTTACATTGAATAAGGGTATTTTAGAAAAATTAAAATACAACTACTTTCTTCAATTAGAAAGCGGACTATAATTTAAAACAGAAAAAAAAAATACAGGACTATCAAAATGGGACGGAGGGAGTAATTGTCTAAATGGCAAGTCCTCTCTCGCTTTTCTTGGTTTTAGTTGCGGTCATTCATCTTTGCGACATCAAAGCAATAACCTGCGAATGATTAGGCCCCCAACCAGTCCCGTGACGTGGACTCTTCTGACAATCATGCGACGCGACGCGACGGTTTGCGGCGCAGTAAATTTAAATTCAAATCTTGCATTTTACAGTTAAAAAATATAAATGATATACAAATGAGTACTTTTTAATCCCGATCGACATTTTTTTCATTCCTCTATATAGCTCATTCGAATCTCTCTCTCTCTCTCTCTCTTTTTTGGTAAAGGATGACAGTATAAGTGTAGCTGTTTGTGTAGAAAATTGAAAAGAACCAGAATAGCCCCAAAACAAAAGAGAGAAATTGTAAATAATGGAGAACTCAAACGCATTACAGGTTTATGTTGTAAAGCTTAGGAATAAAATATCATGTAATTGATGATTTAATGAGTATATTCTTTTTTTTTTTTTGTTAATCGTTAACTCCCACTCTTACTTTTGTTCTAGCACCTACATTAGGAGAGAGTCCAAAAGTCAATAAAAATTAAATAGAGAGCCAGAGGATCCTAACCCTAAATCAAAGGGATGCGCTGTTACGCTCTTTTTGAATTTTATTGCAAATGCCGAAGTTTAAATTCATAAAAAGTGAAAAGCAATAAAAATTTGAAAAGCATGACGTGGCAGACCATTTTGGCTTTCACCAGAACTACAGCCAACACTTGATTGGCTCAAACAAATATTGGTCCAGTTCGAAATTGACCCAGATTTGGTCCGCAATAGCATTGAAGACCAAAAAATCGTTAGTTTTTCAAATACCCAGATTTGGATGGGAGTGTTTTTTAAAAATTATTTTTTTCAAATACAATAAAATTTTTTAAAAGTATTTTAAAAGATAGTCTAAAAATTAGTTTAAATTTTAAAAAAATATTTCAAAATATATTTTAGAAACTCTTTTACTTTTAAATATTCCAAAATATATTCTAAAAATTCTGCTACAATTAAATTTTCAAAAATACTCAAAAAAATAGCTAATCGAAATGGAGCCCGAAAAATTTCCTAACAAAGTAACAAAGAAGAGTTATGGAAACTGGTAAGTGGTAACAGTTTTAACTGATGGACCCACGACTTTCGTGCACAATCGTAGGTAGAACTGTAGAAGACAGAAAAAGTAAAAAAAGTATGGCTGACTATTACAGTACTTGTTTGCAGCCATACTTTGGCTTCTTTGGTCTTTGCAATTGGTCTACAACGTATTATGCACTTCAACCAACTTTCCTAACGACCGAGAAACCTTTCGTCCCAACACCAACCGTCACTTTGTTTGATAAGGCAAAAAAAAAAAAAAGGAAAACGTTCTCACTTCCAGTACAACTGAAAATCCTTAAATGCTACCACGTTCTTGTTCTGATCTTCGAAGTTCTAACACCGTACGAAGCCGTAGCCTTCTATTTTTCTTCCTGTTTTTTGGGGTACATGGGAGGGGCTGGAAGCTCATCAGCTATTTACCAGTGTAGGGATTGCAACATCGGAGGGGGTCTGAAAATTGGCATGTTTTGGAGCTTAAAGTTCGTCGGTAAATCGGTCATGCTAAACAACGATTTGTGTCAATATCGATGGTACAGATGAGTTAAAGAAAGAGTGTAGAGGGGACAGATGAAGGGTGTTGAGTGGTGCTGTGATGATTTTAGGTCTTGGAAGTCGACTGCTCACCCGTTTCAGGTACGTGTTAGATGACTCTACACTTTTTTTTTTTTTTTTGTCCGTCCTTACTCGCAAGTGCTTGCTTCCTTGGTGTTATTACTACTTTGCAATTCATCGAAGTGGTCAAAATTTTTGGGAGCCGTTTTTATTTGACAACTGTAGGTTCATACAAAGATAATAGAGAATTGTCACAATTTTGAAATGAAAAGGACAAGTTAACTAGGAATTTTGCCTGAAATGAACAATTATTTATCGAATAGAAAAAAAAAGGTTAACCAGGTTAACTGTTTGTTATTTTACGGTGTTCAATCGAAGCAAAGCTTTTCCGAAAAAACTTGCTATCATGAAATTGACTTCAGGATGCTCCCAAAAAAGAGAGTTGAAATCATGATTTAAATTCATGTTGCAGTGCAAGTTCTTCAAACGACATCATCAAAGCTGCAGATCACACACTGGGATGTTAGCCGGTGCTCTTGTAGTGAGGGTAGAGGTCTCAGCCAGACCTTTGGCGATGGCATTTATAGCAATGTGACCTGCAAATTGCTCTTTTAGTGCCAACGCTGTAAGCCATGTCACAAACATGTATGCTCTTGATCTTTTTGCTATTACCACTCTCGACTCTTGAGCGAATTGAATGTCAGGTTTCTCGAGGGTTTAGACGTTCTGTATTAAATATCTGCTGTTTAAATGGATGGAGGGTGTTTTAGACATAGTAATGAATGTTTCCTTGGTGTATTACTTTGCAATTCATCGAAGAGGTTAATCGGATAAGACTACTTACTCTGCAATTCACGATCATTGTCCGCTCAACTTGGAATTTTGGGAAACTGAAAAACAGAGCGGCATGCCAACGGGATTCTTGCTTGTAGTTGATTTGGGCCATGTCAGTACCTGTCCAAATCAGGCTCGAAAAAGAGGAAGGCCTTTTGGTGTTTTTTGTTTGGGTCTGTCTAACGAGTGTTTAAATGGACGCTCGCCGCAAAAGTTTTAGTTGAGAGAGTGTTTAAATGTAAGGAGGGGACAACATGCATGAATATATACATTACATTTGAGTGGTGTGGACACCTTGGTCTGCCCGGACTCTTTTAGCCCATTCACTCTTTATCGACAGCAAATACCTCGTCTTGGACATTCACAAACGAGGTGATCGATAATCTTACTTTGAAGAGATGTTCTATCTCGTTCATCTCCTTGCCCAAGACAATGGATACATCAGCTATTTGCGCGACTTGTGACTGATGGAGTAATTTGACTATCAACCACCCTACTATTGGTCAGACCTACATCTGATACCGCTGTCCTATGCTGCCTCATGATGTCAGGCAGGGAGTAGATCTCATCGTTCCATCTCTAGGCACAACTACTATAAATACTCATATAATACTCCTAAATGAGGTACGCAATCTAACCCGCACATTCAACCCTTGAATTCTAGCTAATTTAAGCATCAGAGTGAAATCGGGGAAGAAGATCCCGCCTACTTAAAATGGGAAATTAAGTATAAATTTAAGTGTATTAACTAGTGTCTATTAAATACTTGATAATGAAAAAATTTTCATTTTTCATTTATATGACTAGGAGGACAGTGATGTAATTCGAGGTTTAAAATCTAGTGTACTAATTTGGAGCCCAACAATTGTCGGGGGTTTTTTTTAAAAAAATTTGGGCACCCATTAAAACACTCCAACCACACCTAAATTATTTTGTAAACATATTCTTGAAAGGTCTGCAGGTTTCACATAAGCTGCGACAAGTTCTACAAGACCTGCATTTGAATCAGTTCGGAAAGAAACCAGGTCCAAAACAATGCGTCGCAAAAAGAAAAAAATAAATAAAATAAAAATGAAAGCATCTAAGCCTACACGAACGCGTAATTCTGCATATCCACTGTGTTGTTTCAAACTATACAGTAGCATCTTCAATTTTTTATGACGATTTGTCGAGGATCATTATTCATTACGTACACTGTGCTAAGCATGCATGGAGCCAAATGTGGCAAAATAGCGTAAACAGCACAGCATTGACACGGGGACTACACATGCAGGTAGTGGCCGGCAGATGGCAAAACTTGGTTTCTTCATCCCACCTCGCCCCTGTGCTATATCCAGGACATAATTAAGTATTCCATACGGATCCATGCATGGTTTTGTCTAGAATTCGCTGATGTTTATCCAGTGATAGTGTTTATGCGGTTCTATGATCATGTAACGTTGTCTGATGAATGCTTCTGGTCAATCAAAATCGCATTTTCATGGACACAACCAAAGATTTCCGTTTCTTGATCTTCGTCGTTCATAATCATTGAACACAAGAAATGATGATAAATGCATCAGAGACTGTCAGGGATATCTAGGGGCCGCCGGGGCACATTATGATTGCACCGTTTCAAGTCTTTCGCTTATTAATTTCCTCCTGTTCCTTTTTACCGATGGAATGCAACAAAGTTAGATTCAACTGTTTGCAGATGGAACGCAACAAGTTGGAAATTTTCGAATTAGAGTGTTTGGACTTTACCATGCTTGTCCTATTCTTTGTTCGCTACCAGTGCAATGCTATTTTTACTTCACACAGCCGTATTCAAAATTGTGCCCTGCGCAGAAAAAAGAAATTCACTTGACATCTTGGTAGTCAATGAAATGCATCTGAATCTAAATATGCTTTTTCACCCCCAAAAGAATAAAGAATCTAAATATATTTACACAAAGAAATTCTTGGACACGTAATGCGTAGAACATAAGATATCTTCATCTGTAACTAATTCATCCTACGTACTACTTGGCCCCCAAGAATATATATATATATATATATATATATATATATATTTTTTTTTTTCAAAAAAAAAATTTTTAAGCGGAAGAGGGTTGAAATATAAGAAGTGCAGAAGGTAAAACTCGTTCAGGTAAATCATTCATAGCCTGATGACATCCATATTTGGCCCGTAAAGCATTCTTTTCCGGCTCATACCTTCAACTATTTAAGCATCCACTGTCAGCAAAACAAGAGGTTTATGTATGATGAATAATAACGCAGACTCAGAAAGATAGGAAATGGGCCCAATTATAGATCCTCGTGAGATGAGAAAGAATTTGAAACATTTTTTTTTTCAGTTAAAATATAAATTAAATTGCAGCTAATAGAGCAGTACTATTTCTTTCCATGGTCATATGAGCCATCCAATTCCCGTACGGGAAACTTTCGCAAAGGCTATTGTCTATGCCACGCACCTGCACAAGTTTTTGCAGTTCTTTGGGATAATTGCAGAAACCTCCAGTGAGGTTTCTGATAATTTCACTGAGCTCTCCTAAGGTTTGAAAAATTACACTTATCGTCTTTGATTTGATTAGTTTTAGTAATAAAACTTTAAAATAATATTGACTTGGACAATTTTTTAAATAAATACCCAAAAATGCCCCTGTGGAATGAGTTTTAATTTATTTTTCTATACAATTATAAGATTATTTAGTATAATTATAAGGAAAAGGTACCAAAATTTTCATGTCCATATCTACTATTTGATAAACAACAATAGTAATAATTTTATTACTATGATATGATATTTTTATGGTATTTTATTATGGATTTATATTTAGAAGATAGAAAAGAAAATATTGAAATAATTTATTTAGAGTTTATAAATTTTTGAAATAGTGAGATTATCATAATTTAGTAATACTTTTGGGTCATTTCTTTTTTATTTATTATTAATTTTAATACCAAAAAATAGAAAACAAAAATCAACAAAAATATTGGATTACATATAAAATTAATTCGTCAAAAAAATCACTAATTCAGCATTTGGTTATAATAGAAATCTAGAGGCAATAACGATAATTCTACAGTTTTATTGGTGAAAAATTAAAAAAAAGGAATAAGAAGGAAAAATAATGAAAAATAATTTTAAAACTCATTCTAGAATTTCATTAAAATATTTAAGGGTAAAATTATTATTTTAAATGATAAGGGAGGTATGTATAATTTTTGAAATCTCAAAGGAGTTCAGTGAAATTGTCAAAAACCTCAGGGGAGGTTTCTGAAATTATCCCCAATTCTTTTGTCGCATCGACCCTTTTGCAATTGCGTCTTCCTTTGCCTTTGCCAGACTTCTTTTCGCTGATTGACAACGACAAGGGCGGGTAAATATGTTGATTTCAGCAGACGTGGGGCAGGCTGGCCCGGGCCACACTGCCAGAACGCTGCGACATCACACAAACTTTCCCCATAATCACTTGTATAGGGCTTCACAGTAACAAGTAGACAGTCACCAAGAATGGGTACACGCACTTAGCGTTGACATTGGAAAATGGATTTTACCAAAAACCTCAACCACTCCTTAAACTTCGTCCAACGCAAAAGAAGAAGGAAAGGAGTGCCTGAGGTTTTTTGGAGGAGTGTGAATTTCTTTTCCTTAGGAATCTAAATATGGCGGGGATATATTTTTATATAATGAACTCACAGTGCCACTATATGTTATACGAACTAAGAAGTTAACTAGGAACAAAGTCCTTTCGTTCGCATGAACACCAACCCACATGTATCTCTACTTCTGCGATAGGATAGCTTGAAACTTCCAACTTGATTGCTATCATTTACAGCAGCAAAATGTCAAGACAAACTAAGACATCATTTGAGACCACACAACCAATTTTGTAAAGCTCTAATTCTGTTTCATTAAGCAAAAAGCTCTAATTAAGTGATAGCACAAATTCATGTACAACAACAGGATACTCTTCCCAGACACAGAATTCTGCACCAGAACTTGCAATGCCCGATTAAGTCAATACATGCTTCCAGCTTATTGGTAATTTTAGCTAATAAACGTACGGTAATATCCTCCAGGGGACAAGATTACAGTACTCGTTCCAGATTTCTTTGTACTTCTGTGCACACCGGGCTTCATCTCTTCTCTCTCTCCATACAAGCAAAATAAGAAGATACACAGGGTAGAAGTATGGAATTGGGGAACTACAAAAGCATCCATTGATCTGGGAGTTAGTTTCTGACAGCACATGAACGTGATAAAATAAGAAAAGATAGCTACGTTACCTTATACCACAAGGCAAACTGAATGATAGTGCAACCAATAGATCCCCCAGGTAATTACTGTGCCTTGCAATGCCCCTTCAACAAGATGTTATTAACAAGTAAATATAATTTAGACATCAAAACTCTATCCAGAGAAAAAATGCAGGGAATCTAAAATGTATGCAATGTCTGCTTTCTGAAGGTAATCTGGAATCACCCAGACTCAGTAAGATGGTGTGCTGCTATAATAATAGCCACGCTGCAGAAACACGGGCTGCCATGGCGTTTCTCAGTACTCAAGATATCTCGAGTACTCAGCGTTACTCGAGATATCTAGATAGGGTTGTTCACTCGAGATAACTAAATTTTAGATTATGAAAGTAAAGAAGCTCTGCTCGGGCTGAAACACCAAAATGTGCCATGGCGTTGATTGAGGTTCTACCAAGTAAGAAAATGATAATAGATTATAGTGTGTTCACATATATTAATTTGCTCACAGTAGTTGAATAAGCAAACAAGTCAATTGATGCCTACCAGTAACCTGAAGCTAGCAACTTTCCTCCAATAACTTTTGGAGGCCTACCCCAAATTGGTGCTTTGGGGTCCTTTTTAAAAACATGCTTCTGCTTGTTGGCTCCTCTAAACACAACATAACTTCCAAGAAAAACAGGGAACCAAGTCAAAGGGCAATACAGATTAAAAATAAAAAACTTAGTAAAAACTTCAATAATTCGAAGTTTGTTTACCCAATGAAAAAGACAAGGCAATTTGCAACAATTGCAGCTGTTGTTAGCTCCACTTTGTTATGCAAGAGCCACCAACCCTGTAAAAGAAATTGAAAAGAACTAATTTATCCTACAGCTTGAAAGTTAAAATCAAAGGTACAAAGGCTAACAAATATATCAGAAAGAACATGACGTATGGTAGATGCAACATGAGATCTTAGACTTAGCAATATCAGGAACCTGCAGATGACAGAAGTACGCTAAATTTCTAGATATCAATTTCCCCTCTTCACAGCCAAGAGAATAGATGGATTATATCCTACCACTTCATTGCCTCGAATTATTACTTGAAACTTATCTGAGAATTCAAAAAGTAAGCTCCTATCTTTTGGCCACTTTGACTCAATAACTGAATTGGAATTCTAGAATGCAACTACATACTAGAGCAAGATGTTAATTCTGACACTTACCCAAAAAAAAGGATGTTAATTCTGACTATAACCAATAATGGGCTCCCTGATATATCAGCTACTAATTCCAGTTCAAGAACCAACAATCGGAGACCAATACAAATTGTTCAGAAGTGATGAAATTATGTCCTTGTCCAATGAATCAAATAAAGGTCAGAAGGAGGCAGGTTCTTAAAAGGAGGCAGAAGAAATTTCAGCACATTTAGGGCCATTTAGAATGTTTAGCAATATAGGCACATTCAATAGCGAATTAGCACCAAAAGAACAGGTAGGCAACAGCAGTTTAGGACGATCTTTAAATTAAGTTAATTTGTTATTGCAGATATGATGCTGACTAACATTAGATATTAGTTTTACAAGAACTCAAAGTTCCATTCGGCATCTGTAAACAAGTCCAACAAATTGTGTTAAAGTCTCCTAGGACTTTGCTTGCAAGTGTATGTGACCAAATACTGTATGTATATTGACAGGCTCTCCCTCTCACTCACAAGCACACCCCCCGCCCACCCACCTATACCCATATACAGCAGGACAAACTAAAAAAAAAAAATTGATGAAAGGAAGCAAGAAGAGAATCCTGATTTGTAAGCAAGGGCAGAATCCTTTTTAAATTACAGGCAACAAGCTAGATTACATGCCTGGATACTGAAAGTATATGGAATCCAGACTAGATCTCCAAAAACTAGCATGAATCCCAATCTTTCTGCAATTATGTCCCATCTGCAATGAACAGCCATACCCAAAAGCGTATCGCTTAAACAATTTATAAAGTTGAATGATAAGGCAAAACACTAAATGTGCACTTCATATACAGATATCAAAGCAATAAAATTAAAAAAAAAAACATACAGTTTTCATCCAAAGAGTGGTCAAACTAGTGAAATAATCATAAACTAGGCATATATGAACCAGTATTAAGAAGCTTAAGATTATAGCACTAGTAATACCACAAGAACTAAGCCTAAAACACTTTAACATGTAATTCCTTTCTTTTTCCCTTAAAAAAGGGTTATGTGGGATCAAATCCAAAACTCTAGGGATGATGTCAAAATATTGACCAATAACCAAGAAGGAGCTGCGGCCAACTTTAAGATATTTCACAATATGAAAAAGCTGTACTATTTTGTCAAGAAGAGCTCTCACTCTCTCTACTGTTCCTTCACCTAATCTGCCTGAGATATAAACTAAATTCATAAGTCATGACAGACTTATCTAACATGTGGGCATTCAAAATTTGTCAAAAGGAGGACTACAGACCAGAAATGAAGTTGGAGCATGGAAACTTTTCATGTAGGTAACTAACGAGATTAGAACAAAATATTGGGAATTAGTACAGAACCACAAAAGAATTAAAACAAGGATAGCTTCATCAGTCATTATGCCAAACTATGGGAACTATTGGATACCTGGATCTATGCCCCCCACCATAGTGTCTGATACAGGTACCAGACATTTAAGCATGCCATCTTAATTGTACCCATCATAACAATACAGACTGGTGACAATACAGCAAGGTGGGCGTAGATTTATTAGGCAGTACCCACTTCACACCATTTGCATTATCCCATTTGACCAAGCATATGGTATCAGCAATATACACTAATACATCCATAATACATGATTTTTGTAAAAACAGTCCATACCATCTGTCATTGTTTAAGTGTTGGAATTTCTACATGCTTTAGTGAAAGGTTATCTCTTGAAATAGGATGGAAAAGTTGGGAAAACCAAAATGAAAAGGATGATAATTAGCTACTTACGTGGATGTCATGAACTCTTCATAGAAAAAGTAATCAATAATATATAGCTGCAAAGACATGAAGTATTACATAAATTGTGAGATACCATCCATCTTTCTACCCCTTAGGACAAGAAATAATATTCCAGTAACTTACCGTACAAAATATCTGATATAGGATCATTGACTGTGTTAAATTTGAATCCTTGAGAGCTTTTAAGAGAATGGATAGATTGATGAGGAGCCAACCCATCATTCCAGCTCTAACAAAGAAAAATCTGCAAAAGAAAGTTGTAGTTATCACAACAAAGCTCACATTGGTAGTTATCAAATCATGGCATCAAAATTTGAGTGCATTAAACCGTGTAACATGCAAAAGATGGAAAAAATATATATTTTAAGCAGAGTATCATAGAACGTCATTTCTTTTTTTACATAATCAAATTATTTAGCAAATGATGTAACTCCTAAAGGCAACACTTTAAACACTGAAAAATAATGAAGAAGTCAAACTTGGACATACAACGTAAAATAGACAGAGCATATCTCAGAAGCGAGGAGAAATAGAGCATAAGTCAAATATACGTACAATCAAAGGTGTCAAAGCAATGTGTGAAGATTTGAGCATTTACTTGATCAAAACATGTGAAGTAACACATGAAACACTTAAAACATATCTTGAACCATAAACACCAGCATAAGACATGTAATCCCTTATAGTGACAAACAATAAAGCATAGTAAATTATTGTGTCACATCCCGAAGGTCTATCACAGTGATAAAGATTTCAAGAAGTTTCACGTACAGAGTACATACTTGAGGTCAATGCCGAAGAATTGAGGATTCAGTTGGATCCCAAACCACCTTTTGGATGACATTTGGATACAAATATAACAAGGTAGATGATTAATCAGAAGGCATTTGTGCGCAGTTGAAATACAACATGAATAAAATGGAGTTTAAAAAGTTATCACAAAACTACAAGAATGCTAATTTTACGATAATGTTTCAGCATCTGTATGAATAAATATTGCAAATCACGATATTTACATAGAAAACAGCATATAACAAAGTATTATGCATCATTGGTAGCAATAATTGGGTGAAGTAGTAAAAAGAAAAACCTGGAGCTGTAAGCCAAAAGAAATTAAATTCAGTCAGGTGGACAATAAAAATGTAAGCTATTATTGACGAATTCTCTGCTTTTGCAAAAATGTATGCTCTTTGAAGGGTTCTACAAAAATTAGTATAGTCAAGATTTCCCTGTGGACTTATTGCCGAGGCTGAGTAACATGAGATGGTCAGAAGGAAGAACTGGCAGAGTCATTTAACGACATGAAGATTCTTAACCAAACATCTTTAGTCACCTAGGCAGATGCTATTAAGATGGTGCAATTAATGCAAATTTAGTAAATTATAATAAATTGAGTAAGACCAACCCCATCTATTCCTTATCATTTGCCCATCTATTCCTTATCATTTGCTTACATGTCTCTTAGTCTAGGTCAATATAACAACATTTTGTTGGAAAAATTTAGAGCAGTGTAATCCATGGATGTTAAGCAAATTATTGCTAAATTTCATCTTGACCTAGATTAAAATACTAGAACGCCTTGTTTTCTTCTCAGGCACGATAGCAGCACATCTAATCACTAAAGGAAGCTAATTTAATAAATAGGAGCCTGCAGAGATCAAACGTTATATTGTCCCAGTAAAAATCCACAATCTGACCACAACAGTTTGAGTTACCAGTCATGAATCAAGTTTCCGGTAACGTGAGGCTTCAGAGAAGAGTTCTGATCACTTGACTTACAACCGACCACATACAATAAGAGTGTGACCTGGCATTTACAAGCAAAATAAGGTTAAGAGAACAAGATTAAAAGTTCAGAGAAGTGGTCAGATTTACAGCAGATACATATTTTGTCTGAATATATCTTCGTGTGATTAATTCCAATGCCCGAGCTAAGTATATGAAGTTAATTGTGAATTCTTGAACCTGAATCCTCAAACATTCATCGTTGGTATCATATCAGGTTTGAAATTGTTAATATTTTGAAATCCTACTCAAATTAATAAAGATCAATCATGCAACAAAAATTTCCAATAAGCGAAAACTGAAACTTACAAGAACGCTGAACACAAAAGTTGTTGATAAAAGCTCAAGCCCTCGGTCTGCAATTATCTGCAAGACTCGTCAATGAGTTGGAGAGTGTGTAGCTTAACTTGATTTTGTAAATCAAAACGAGAAAATTACTTACAGTAGGCGATACAATATCCAACTGGGTCCCGATTCCAAGAAGGGCAATCAAAACGAGCAGCAATAGCAATCCTGAGCCCACCAACCAAACGTTATGCTACAATGCCCATTTTTTTCCCCCGGGTGTTGGGGGGGGGGGCGGGTGAGGGGGAGGAAAGAGTCTTGGGATTCAATAAATATCAGAGAGAGATGGAGAGGTGACCGTTGCAACGGTAATGGAGGCGAGTCCCATCAGTCAAAGTGACCCCAGGAACAATCTTTCCGGGCAGGATAGATCCAGCAACTGCCAAGTACGTGAAGAACGAGAGCAGCAAACCAACCTATACACAATAAAAAAGCAAGAATATTAAATCAATGCAGGTTATGCCTAGCAAGCTGTTTATGCCAGTGATGTATCCTTGGAATCACAGTAAACTTGTGCATGAGAGAAGCAGAGATAAGATTACAGACGGAGATGGAGGAGGGAATGAGGGAGTTGACAAGGGGATTGATATCCATCTTATGGGCTTCGGCTGGGGAACGTTGGTTGGTTGATGCGGTTCAGTTCGATTCAGTTCACTTATAAAACTGCGTTTGATTCTCCACTGCTCAGTCAAGTGCCCCTTCTTTTTTTTCTTTCTCAATGTTCTTCTATTTTTTTTTTTTTTTATTTATTGGGGATGGTTGGAAATCATTTGCGTTGTCTTGGCGGATTCTTGCGGGATGCGGAGCTGCGGAAGGGAAGGGGAAGCATGCCCAGCGGCAGCGAGGCTGCACTTTTTCGAGTATGTTTTTGAATTTTGACTACCTTTTGATATAAGAACTCCTACTGGCACAAAAACATGTCCACTTCACTGAAAGTCCAAATGTTCTCCCTCTAGGCTAGTTTTTAGCTTAGATTCCTAAGAATGAATTATGTAGGAAAAAGGGGTGACTAGTTTTTTTTTTTTTTTTTGTTGGATATATCTTGTAACTCATATCACATCTTCATATAAATCACTACACACATTTTTTTTGGATTAACTGTTTTTAGAAGTGTTTTTGAAATATTTTACTGTAACAGTGTATATGAAAAATTTTTACTATAGTCTTTTTTGAAATATTTGATATATTATATGAATGAGATGTTTTTTGAGTTGTTTTTATTTATGTATTACTGTAATATTATATTTAAAAAACTTATTTTTGAAAAATAGGTCAATCCAAACAAAGTCTATAGAATGTAGAGTTGAATGTTGAGGCCAAGCCCAAAACATCCTTATCAACTTATAATGTTCCTTTAAACCAAAAAAGAGAAAAAAAAAATTCATTCATTCATTTAGGATCTTCGGAGAAAATTTAAATGCTTATGAGCCAACACAAAGTATTTGTACTTTGTCCAATTGTTAATAATAAAATAAAATAAGTTTTTAACCTTTAGAGAAGACTCTATGCTTCACAAGGGGTAACCCAAAAAAAAAAAAGTTTGAATTGCAATTAATCTTCCATCCCAATTTTCTGCTCCACCGTCTATCATATTATCATCTGAACAGCAACCTTTTTTTAATTTTAATTTGAAAGAGTCTCCAAATCTCATTTGTCACCATTCAATAATGTTCCCGAGAACATGCAAAGCGGAATCGTCATTCGAAAAGCCCATTTTAATGGGCTTGTCCTATTGGACCAACCCATTTTGGCGCGATGTGGATTCGCAAAACGCAATAGAAGACAGTCCGCCTCTTGATTTACTAGGTCCATGACTGTGTTAGGGGTGAATAATTTTTACGTTTTTTATAATTATAATTTTTACATATTTTTTTATTTTACATACATCAAATTATTATAATATATTTTTTTAAATTAAAATTTTAAAAAAATAGCAATCCAAGTGCAAATTGCTGGTCTATTTTTAGTATTGATGAATAGAACGAATAAAAGGAGACAACTGGAATTAACAGGATTAACAAAATAAATAGCAGCAGCTAGCTAAAAAGGCAAAAAGAAGGAAAAAACAAAAAGTGAAATCCGGGCACTGACTAATTCCTCCAGATGGAAAAGCAGTAAAGCACCATAGACATTTTGAATTACCGTAGTCCGCGCAGCATGATATCACGTCTAATCCCGTTCCTCCGCCTCTATATATAATCCCCACCACCAACGAATCAACCCTAGGAAATTCCTTTTTGCCTCACTTTCACAAAAACCCTAGCTTCCACTCCTCCCTTAAACCCTAAAGCCTTCTCTCTTCGTCTCGTTTTATCCGTCTCTCGCTTAGCAAATTCGCAATGGAGTTTTGGGGTAACTCTCTTTTTCCCTTCCTCCTTCCATTTCAACTCATATTTCTTATCTATTTTTGGTTTCTGTTTTCCCTCTTTTCTGGTGTAATTTTGTTTTCGTTTAACTGCCGCTGACTGCTCACTTATCTACGGCCGATGAAGTAGTTTCTCAGTTGTATTTGCGGTGTTAGGTGGTGGTTTTGATCGTAGAGGCGTACATGTATATACGCGCTTGTACGTTATGTAAAGATGAACCGACACATCTTTATCTGTTATTCTTTGGCTGAATTGTCTGAAAATAGACATTCGTTTCTTACATATAAAATGGAACATCTTTATCTTTTAATTGCTTATGAAAGGTGGTTGTACTAAAATTATAGTTTAGTCTTGTATTATTTATGTAAAGTTTGTTATTATGGGCCTAAACTTTCGAGAGGGGAGAGACAATTCAAATGTCCACAATTAGCTCTACGCTATAACAGAAATACTGTTTTATTTATGTTACTGACGGTCTTTTATGCTTCCCTCCGTTTCTGAATTGTGTTGAACTCGTACAAGGCGTTGTTGGTATCAATGCACAGTCGAGTTTGACTTGCTGGTGGTTTAATTTGAGTGTGACACACAAGCTTTTCTGCTGGAAAGATAATGCTGCAGTTAAGACCTTTATATGTGGTTGTGTATTCTAGAATATACACTTGGATGTGTTTTATGGGAAAAAAGGAGCACGATTTGATTTTTTTAGAGCGTTACATGGGCTTTGATTTAATGCCCTGTGAATGACAATTTATGGTTTGGTCCTGTCTTGCAGACAGATTGATTTTCTTTTGTAGTTTTGCATAAGTAATTATTGTTTTTTACAGCAACATAACATGGCCAATCTAACTTGACGTGCTTTTTATCCAGCTGCTGAGGTTAAAGGTGGAGAGCCTTTCAAGGTTGAGCCTGGTGAGGGTATGGTTCTGCATCTTTCACAGGTATAGATCACTAATAACTTCTTGAGATTAATCATTTGTTTTTGATAATTGAACCTCAATGGATGGATATATTTATGCAGGCTTCTATTGGTGAGGTTAAAAAGGAGAAAGGGAATGAAACCATCTGCCTGTTTGTGAATGTGGATGGACAGAGGCTTGTTCTTGGAACACTTTTCTCTGAGAAACTCCCTCAGCAACAATTTGACTTGGTATTTGACAGAAATTTTGAGTTATCACATAACTGGAAAAGCGGAAGTGTCTACTTCTATGGCTATAGGGCTAACAACCCTTTTGATGAATATCCTTTGCACCTGCTATTTGGGCTATCTTAGTTTTCCTACAAGATGATATGATCACAATTTTTTCCATTTGACTCTGTTGGACTATAAATTCCATATTCTTTTTCCTTGACTCGATTATTTTCGCCACGGAGGATGATGGGGGTGATTTTGGTTAGTATAGTCTTTCCCTGTTTGTATAAAGATTTTATTTTTGTCCATTTTTTGGGTGCTCAATACCTGTACATCTGTATCTTATGTTCAGATTCTGATTCTGAAGAGGAGATTCCACTTACAATTGCAAACAATGGTGTGTAGAAAGTGGTGTTTCTGTTTTATGATCATGAGATACTGAATTTTATAAAATCAGATACATTCCAGTCTGTCATCTCAATTTTCAGGTAAACCTGAGATCAAGGTTAAGGAAGACAAACCTGCTGACAATAAAAAGGCTAAAGCTGAGAAGGATTCTAAGCAAAAGGTGAAGATTGTGGAACCAAATCTGGATCTCCTTAAGCGTGATGGAAATGAAGATTCCAGTGATGAAGATGATGATTCTAGTGATGAAGATGATGATGCCTCTTTGGATGAGGTATTAAATCTGAAGGTTATCTGTTTATTCTGATGTCATCTGTGGTAGTTTTTGTCTCTATTTGATAGGGCTTTACATTGTAGATCAGTTGACCTTTTTTGGGACATGAGATATTTTATGATTGAGATTGGTGAACAGTTGGTATGTCTTTGTTTTTTTAAATTCTTTAATTGATTATTCCATGATCCCATTTGGCACACGATATATATCTAGGTCACTTGTCATGGGAAGGAAAGTATGGAAAATGATTGCTTGGCTTGGCTTAGTTGCTCCTAACTGGAGCCATTTTAGATTCTTTACATTGATGCATAAAGGGGAAGGCTCATTACTTGTCTTTTTGGCAACATCTTATGTGGGTTGCCTCCTCATGAAATCACCCATGTTATTGTATAGGAAATATGCAGTATTAGTTTTTCAATTAATGTAAGTTTCCATTTTGGCTATAGGAGCTGTAGCATTTTTGGGTTGACCGTTACTAGCTTATTGTTCTATGTGATTCAATCTCTAGAATCCGTTGGTAGTTGCTCTGATTTTTTGCACTGCCTTGATTTTATTTATTTATTTTTATGATTTGGCCTCTTAGAATTTGTTGGTCTTTGTTTCTCTTGCTTAGAATATGTATTGCTATTGGTCCATCCAATTTATGTAATTTTTGTTCCCTATTCAGGATGAGGATGAGAGTGACACTGATGGAGATGATGAGTCAGATGAAAGCGATGAAGAGACACCAAAGAAGGTAGTAGTCCTTGATATGTAATATTTGATTATTTTGGGTTAAGGAGCATGGGTATACCAATTTGATTATTTTGGGTTTAGGAGCATGGGTATACCAATTAAATATTTTGTTGGGTTTTATCTTTGCTTTTGAAGGTTGAAATCAGCAAGAAGAGAGCTATTGAATCAGCCGTCAAAACGCCTGGTCCTGATAAGAAAGCTAAATTGACAACTCCTCAAAAAACAGGTTATTTTCTTGCTCTTAGTGCAGTTACGGTTTTAGTTTGTTATTGCACTTGTGCATGTATTACAGAGTGGTCTCTTTTTATGTTCGGGATACCTTTTCTCAAGTACTGTTCCATTACCGGTGTAGATGGCAAGAAGGGTAGTGGGCATGTGGCTACACCTCATCCTGCAAAACAGGCTGGGAAGAACAAAAATCAGCAAACTCCAAAATCTGGAGGTGGGTCGCATACTTGCAAGACATGCAGCAGGTAAACCTTTTTGCTTTGTGACTTGCATTTGGGTAGGCGCTGCTGTTTCTGGTATTAAGAAATTGCACACTTGTAATGCCTAACAGGGGATTTGGCTCTGAAAATGCTCTGGAATCCCACACAAAGGCAAAACACAGTGCTGGAAAGTGAAGTAGGATTTTCAAAATGATGGCCTAAAAGACCTGATGGAATGGAAGAGACTTTTAAACTATTTGTAGGCTGATTCAGCTGATGTAAAGTTGAGAGCTGTTAGCTAGGTTCTGCTTTATTACGTGTTATTCTCTGCGGCCTTTGTTTTGGGTTGGGTTTTTTTTTTGTTTCCCCGCGCGCGGCGTGGGGGGGGGGTGTTGTTTGGTGGTACCAGTGGCAGATCAAAATGGATTATGGAACTTACACATTTTTTACCCCTCGCGATCGTTTTTGGTTTGCTTAATTGAAGTTCCAAATGCCTTGTTATTTTGGGCAAAGTTTTATGCATCACTTTTCAATAGTTATATGCTTTCCACTAGCTCTAGTTGCGTGGGTCTCTCTCTGTCTCCCAGAATTTAGAGAATGCGTCCATTGGCAAATACTGCAAGTACTGACTGCATGTTGGATGGCTGGAATTGCCTAAAAGAAGTCCTTGGGTTATTATATCTGCATTTGCAACGTAGAGACTAGAGAGCCATTTGTCCATGTTTTTTATATCAAAGAAGGATGTCTTAAGGTCACTCGGCACAGAAATTGTGCTCGTCTCAAGTGGTGTTTGATAGTTGTGTTTGTCTCTGTCTTTGAGTAAGGAAATTTTGCTCGTTGATAAGTTGTCTTGTCTGTACCTTTGAGGGGCGTATTTGTGCTCGTCTTAGTGGTGTATGTTCGGAGATGGCCAAATCTTCATTCTCGGATGCCCCCAGTCACTGGTCAAGGTTATTGTGCTTGTCCTAGTGGTGCTTAATTTAGGCACGGCGGCTTGATTCAGTAAAAGTTTGGTGAATTTTTCGGAAAGTTTTAAATCTAGTTTGGATAAAAAATAAAATAAAAAGATGGTAGGTTATGGGGCAACTGCCATTAGCTATCATTTCATTCTTTTGACAAATTCAAATAAGTGAAGCCTTCCCTAAGGATTCAAATCCCGGAAGCTTCATTGCTTTAACTAGTATTTTGACTCGTGTATAACACGGGATTATATTTCAAATCAAAATAATATTATATATATTTATATATTATGGTATAAAATAATATATATATATATATATACTAAAAATTTTAAAGAAGTGTATGCTTAACATGTTGAAAAAATTTTAATTTATAATGATTTACATGATAGAGGAATTGTTAACGCATTTAAGGAGAAAGTTAGGTTGGGTGGTAAGGTGAGAAGAGTTTTTTTTTTTTAAAAATCAATTTATCAGTATTCGATAAAAAATATTATGTTATACTCATATATCAAAATTTATAATATAAAAAAATAATTATAATCAATTTATTTTCTTCTATTTTTAGAAAAAAAATCTTTCTCCTATCTTGTACCGCTAAAATTGTTGACTGCATTTAGATTAGAGTTTTTCATAAACTTTAACGTATATTTTTAAAAAATCTCTGTAATATATGTTTTTGGAGTTCACCATCATTTCCCTCTTCTCTTATCTGTCAGTTAGTCATTATATGCCTCCTACGACTTTTGTATTTTCTCTCATGATACTATTCTCTCTATTATTATTATTATTATTTTTTTTTATCATCTCTGTCATATGCCTGCAATTCTCTTTCTTCTCTTCCTTCTCCGTTCATCCTTGTAACTAACATTTCTTCTTCAATCTTTCTCGCCACTTTTTAACTCCTCACCATTTTCTTCTCGCTCTCCTCCCCCCGTACCTAACCTATTTATATCCCTGCGACCCAATAAATTTAACTTTACCTATCATATTGAAAATGACAAATTATTCAATTGGCTCTTGAACTCTTTGTCTAAGTAAAAATAAGTCCATCATCTATTTTTTATTGACTTTAAGCCCTTAAACTTGTAAAATTGGGCACCCGTTACCCTTTTAGCCAGTTTCTCCGATTTTGTAACCCGAAGGTCAATTCACACGAATGTCAGTGTGCTTTTTCAAAGGGCATTTTTGTCTGCATTTTTTAAGCAAAAAGGGGCAACTCCTCCTTCTTCCCTCCATCTAACTTAACCCAACCGCTAATGGAGCCGACGTTCTTGTCCAGCAGCATGCGAGACAACACATTCGAATTGGTACTTTCCCTCGTCTCTAAAAGGGTATTCTTCTTCTCTGCAATGATATTCAAGAAGTGCTGCTTGAGATTTTCTAGCCCTTTCAAAGCACGATTATATTTGGTGCCAGGCAGATTGATAGGCAATGAGAACAAGGCTTGCAATGTGAGATGGAAAAATTCAGATATTCTTTCAACTTGGTGAGCATCTTTAGCACCAAGTAGCAATTTGCAGGCCAATGAAAGTGTATATTTCTGGGTAAGAGGATAAACCTTTACCATTTGGGAAGCATCCCAGTAAGTTTTCATATGTTCCCTGGCCAAGGAATCCATGATGGAGATGTACTGTCTCAAAGATTCGGGCTTCAGGATTTCACTGTAAAGAAAATTGCGACCTTTTGAAATTACTTCTTTGACTGATAGACCAGGTGAATCCAACCAATTGAATAACTTTAGAGCTGCAGAAGGAACCCAAGAAGCAAGACAATCGTTTGCAGTGTAGAGCATAAACTTGTTCCCTGCTGGACCACAAACTACAGCCACTTTTTCTTCGAACAGTGAAGTTGTGAATACTTCTTCTGAGTATTTTTCCATTCTTGTACGAAAAAATTTTTCCGAGCCACTTGAGAAAAATTGGAGTGTCTCTCCAGTGATTGGGAACCCGAGTTTACCTAGTGGAAGTTTGTATCTGTTACAATAACTAAGAAAAAAATGCACAAATATCGCAGCCCTGAGCTTCCTATTTTTTCCTTCCCTTCACAAAAATTTTACCTTCTTCCCTTTTTTTTGTTTCTTTGCAGACTTCTCTCTCTTCCCTCTACAATTCATTTGTTGAATAAGTTAGCGGTTAGGTTAGGTTAGATGGAGGGAAGAAGGAGAAGTTGCCCTTTTTTGCTTAGAAAATGTGGATAAAAATGCCCTTTGAAAAAGCACACTAACATTCGTGTGAATTGACCTTCCGGTTGTAAAATCGGAGAAACTGGCTAAAATGGTCATGAGTGCCCAATTTTACAAGTTTGAGGGTTTAAAGTCAACAAAAAATAGATGATGGGCTTATTTTTATTTAAACAAAGAGTTCAAGGGCCAATTGGATAATTTGCCCTATTGAAAATATAAAATTGAAAAGTAATTATAATCGTTGCAATTATTAGTATTTAAAAATGGAGATGAAAAACTGATAATATATATAATATCCTCAAGTACTACAATCAATATATATATATATATATATATTTTAACATAGCAAGTACATATTTACATATGAAGACAGCAATAAAAATACATAAAATAATTAATGATACCAAAAGTTATCCTTAGTGTTTGGGTTTTGCACTCTTATTCAAATCTAATCAAGGTCAAATTTGGACCAGATATATACAAATTAAGTAGTATTTTAGAGTCGAATGTTCTATATTTTTCTCTTAAACTATAATGTTACTTTTTAAAAATTTTTGATAGAATTGATGTTGTTATTATCATTATTTTTTTATCATAAATAAATATTTAAAAAAAAATTCCACGTTAAAAAGCCAGTAGTACTTTGTTTTTTATTAAGTGATTTTATAATTTAGATTTCATGAATGGTATCATTCTTGATTTTTCAAATCCACGACATTATTTTCTTTTTTGTTTTATATTTAATTTTGCTCTTTTACTTAGTATCACTAAGTTAAAAATAAAATATTATCATTTACTTTTTTACTTTTACTAAGTTGGCAATGTTTTTTCTTTATTTGCCCTCTCATTAATAAACTTCAAACCAAATTCCTATATAAGTGGAGCAACTTCTTACTTATTTAAATTAGAAAGGCATGGAAGCCACTTCTTACTTAGGAAAATGTTATTTGCACTCCATTTTTTATTATTTGCAATTCCACCATTTGTTTTATCATATAGTCTAATTAATGAAAACTATATGCTCAAAATGATTATTGAAGTGTGCATAACAAAAATGAAGTGTAAATAATTTTACTTATTTAAATTAATAAGAAAGCATGAAAGGATGTTATATTTGTTCTCTCTTGTTACGGTTTTATAGAAGTTTTAATTGGAGTAGAATCATAAATAAAAGGTAATTGGAAACGTGATCGGTTGAAAACAACCAACAATTTGAAATGGAATGATTTTAAAAAGTAACTAACAATTTCAAATATAAAGATTAGATGTGGAAGTTAAGAGAAATATATTTTATAAATTAAATTAAATGTGAAATGCTAGAAAAATGGAATTGGTAGTGGGAAGATTTGTGGACGCTTGTTATTAAAAATCCCTTCTCAAATTTATATAGATATAGATTTGAAATTTATGTAGATTAATTTCTATAATCATTTGTCAGTAAATATATGTTTAGTTTCTTGATGGTCGATAAAAGCAGGAGTTAAAGGTGGCGAGGGACATCCAAATGCGTGTATTTTGCTCCCCCTTTTTTTGTGGTAGAGAAGAAATAACTAATTAAAACTATATAAATTTATCTGGATCTCACAACTCCCAATATCTCCTAATTAACATATGTATAAAAGAGCGAATGCCATGGCTCAAAAGGGATGGTTGTTTTGCTGATGTGGCCAATTATTATTGGCTAGAGTGTGTTCGTCCATGTGTGTGTGTGTGCTTGTTTTTTTTTAAATGCAGAGGCTGCAAATTGGGCCGTGCGTTTGTAAGCCTGAGTGTTTTGCTGTATGGAACCCACCAAAAGAGCAATAATTAATAGCTGTCCTTTTTCTTCAAACATTTGGGTCATTTCTCTTCCCACCGTACCTATTTGCAGCTAGAGCTGTTAAGCCAATCAAGTAGCTCGAAAGCTCGTTAGAGCTCGGCTCGTTAAGGCTCGAGCTTGGCTCGTTAATTTTGGTTAACGAGTCGAGCTCGAGCTCGAAACATGCTCGTTTAGTTAACGAGCCGAGTAAGCTCGGCTCGTTTGATACTCGAGTAGCTCGTTAGAGCTCGTTAATGAAGAGCATATTTGTCATTTTAGAAATCAAAATTATATAAATTAAAAATTATAGGTTTTTATTAATGTTAATTTGCACGAGCTCGAGCTCGTGAAACTCGACTCGTTTGTGATAAACGAGTCGAGCTCGAGCTCGAGCTCGAGCCACATGTACATTTAACGAGCCGAGTTCGAACACATTTTAAAGCTCGTTTTCTTAACGAGCTCGAGTCGAGCTCGACTCGAATTAAACTCGAGTCGAGCTCGGCAGCCAAATACTCGGCTCGACTCGACTCGATTAACAGCTCTATTTGCAGCCTTTTGGTGACACCGATTGGACTAATAAATTGTGATAAAAATTGGAGTAGTTACTGAGCTCAATGTGACGGGTCATGTCTTACTCATTTGCCCTGGTTGCCATGTTCATTTATCTTCTTTTTGGGATAGCTGTGCCTTGGTAAACCATCGCTGCCGTCTGTATTCTTTGTCATTCAATTTTTGTTTCCTTTTCCAAGCCACACGATTTCTCTTTTGGCCGATGAGCTCGAGACCAGGAAAGGTTCCATCTTTCTCTTTCCTCTTTTCATTTCTTCCTCTCTTCTTCCCCTCTTTGCTTTTCTTCCACTGGAACAAGCCAACAACAGTCCAACTGTCGAATGCCCACCTGTTTGAGTTCAATTTTTTTTTCCCAGATATCATGTCTATCTATTGGATTTATATTACAGCAAGAGAAATGGGACAAAGAAAAACGTAAGCCATGAAAAGAAGAAGTAGAAAGGGGAAAAATGGATCTTCATCAGAACATGTATGCTTTTGTTTTACATTTTTTTCGTGAAATTTAAGCTGGTTCTGTGAGTCTTTTTTTGTTTAATTTTTTCCCTGATCAGAGGAAGAAGATGAGAAGAAGAATAAGCAGATGAAGAGAAGAGAATGGATTTTCAGCCTAATCGGGTCTGTAAGTTTATTTTTTATTTTAATTTAACCCATCAATTAGCCATCAATTATTTTTTATGAAAGGAAGAATTAGCCATCCGACTCCCTTTCTCTGACCCATGCTCTCTTTCTTCTCGTCTTCTTCCTCATCATCGCGAAGAAAGCTGCACTTTTTCTCTCCAATTTCTTTCTGATAGACAACAACAAAATTGAAAAGTTGGCTGGAATTTTTTTGCTTCAAATTCTCTTATTGCTTCATTTTCTCCGAACTATGTTTATTAGTCTTTTAGTTCTTTTTCTCCTATTATTTCTGACATCTCGTGCCACTTGCCAGTGTTGTCCCCGCTGATTAGTGCTGCTCTCGTAAGTCCCTCTTCTCCCTCTGATTCTAAGCAGTTCCTTTCACGTAAGTCTCTCTGTTCGCCTCTACTGAGTTCTTGAACTGCACTCGGAAGAATTTTTAACCCATCTCGTGGTGGTAGCATTTGATGGTTAGAGTTGCAGATTATTCGCCTTTTTCACTTGACACTGGCAAACTTATATTAGGTCAAGAAACTATAGTAAATATTATGCACAAGTCCCAGAATTCGCCAACATTAGACTAGTGCATGGACGTTTATGAAGTTCAAGTTTTGATCACTGATTCGAATTTTGTTTGTTTCTTTTTAATGAGAGTTATGAAATTGAAATTATTGATGGGATTCTTTGTATTATTGATGGGATTCTATAAGAATGCATTTCTCTTTTTTGGTGAAATGTTGTTTTGTGTTTTCTACTTATTATATGCACTTTTTTTCTGTGGAAAGTTATGGAAAGAAATTAGACAAAAATATAGAAAATTTCAGACATATTTGAACTGAAAATGTTCCCAAAACCTATTTAAATGAAAAAAGACCATCATCAGCAGTCGTTAACGTTATTTTAAATGTATAGGCCTTGAAATTGCAAAGATTGTAGCTTCGTCCTCTCTGTTTTAATTTTGCCAGATTTCTTTTGTCTCTGTTTGGACCAACTAGGACACAGAAAATGTGCTGTTATCCCTATAATCCAAAGAACTGGATTAAATCAGTTAACTTTCTTTTATTTTTGCTATGGTGACACTTCCCCAGGAATTTCTTACAAATTAGCCTTGTAATTGGGAGTTTATGTGTAAGGGCTTGTATTGGAAGTTTCATGTCTATTGCCTGTTACTCTGTGACATTGTAATTGGCTCTGAATTAGCATATAATGAAAATTTTGTTCCAGACTGATCATACTTGTGCTGTTGCATTTACTGCCCTCTTTTGGAAATGTAGCCTCCATTTCATTGCTATTGCATAAGTATCATGATTGCTGTCTTTTCTGACACCTCGTGTCCTTTCCTTAGATATTTGGCCCTTTGGTATTTTTTATCTCCTATTATTTACCAGATTAGTTGTCTAATTTTTTCCCTTTTATGATGTTGTGATGTTGCAGGTACATAATCTAGAAATTTCCTCCACCATCTTCATGCGGTTTTGTAAGTTTTGTTTATCCCTTTTGAAGGTAGATTCTATAAGGTTATTTTCTCAAAAAAGTGTATTCTTTAACATTGTTTCCCATGCTTCTTGAACCTTCTCAATTTAAGGAAGAAAATAGAAAAAGCAGATCAATGTTCCTGAAATAAAGTACTTGCTTTTCATCTTTTTTCAGTTGTCTAATTCTGTCTGAATATTTATCATGTGGGGTTCTTGAATCTTTTTTTATTTTATCATTCTTAGTCCCATTTATTGTGGTTTTGTCTACCAGTATAATCTGGTGTTTGTATCAGTGATGCTGGAGTCCTTGATTGGATTTCAAGAAATTGTAGGTTCATGGTGTACTGCCTTGTATACTAGATCATATGGTATATAATCTTGTTTTCAAGTTAAATTGGTCCTAATGACGGGTCAATGTGATTTTCATGCTAAAAAAGTCTTGTGTCGTTGATGGCTCGACTGAATTTTGGGAGTTTAGTAAGCTGTTGTAAGTAGTATTTTGTAGTGATAACGGTATTATTCACTATGGCATTTTAAGAATTGTACCTAACCACGTGGATATTTTCTCCTCCTGGTGGTTTGGTGCTTTTTATTTTTTAAATACTTGATTGAATTATTTGATGATTTGACTTGTTGCTTATGGTTATACGTTGGTTTGTTTTGACAGCCTTGTGTGTGGAAACTCCCATGGTATTATCAGAAAGTATGACTTGATGTGGTGCAGACAATGCTTCCGCAGCAACACTAAGGAGATTGGATTAATTAAGGTAATGGATTCAAAGTTTTAAGAAAGGAATGATCATATTATTACCTTCTTAAAAAAAAAAAACTAATAGAGCTACTATGATGTGGTTGTTGTTTTCATTGTCATGTTAATATTCATATTCATGTTAGGATATGATTTTGCATTTAAATTTTCTTGTACCTGTGGTTCTAGATACGAGTATATGCCAATTTAAGAATTTTATAGTTGGTTGTTGGCACTCTATGATACTGAGTTATGGGTCTTGTTTTTCCATTTTTGTGCCGTCTTGAATAAATTACTAAATCATTCTGATTTTTCTTGCATTTGTCATTGCAATATCAGTGAACGAAAAGGCCGGTGCCTCCTTGCTAGCGGATTTTGTTGAGCAAGCTGCCATTAGAGATAAATGGATCCCAAGTTGTTATTTTCTTTGTATTTTGAACAATTTTGGCTGTTCTAATTTACCATTGAACTTGAATTGGTATGTGAATCAACAAATTCTACCATATGCTGTTCTTTAATATAGGGTATCACATATTTTCTTGAGGTTGTCCTTGGTGTGACTATTTTGTGAATGCAATTATGGTGAATTTTTTATTTTTATTATAACAAATTGATGAATTGCAGGCAATGTTTTTAATTAGTTGGTTAATTCTCTTGAACTGAATATTTTGGATCGTATATGTTTTATGTCGATGGCATGACAGATTGGTTCTCGTTCATTGTGACCAAATCTAGATTTGTATTGGAACAGATTGCTTTTTTTTTATTTATTTAAATCAGATGAGGGGATCTTTTGCAAGCATTTCTTTTCATTTTGCTATTGCAATAATTACTGAAAAATGCAGAGCCAAGGTATATTCGTGCAAAAACATGAATATTCTGGAGTATTTTCAAAATGAGACTCATTTTAGCTAATGAATACTTATTAGTGGGTTTACAATTTTGTCAAGTTATTAGAGCTTTATTATGCCAGCAATACACTAGATCATTTACCTACACTACCTGCAAAAGGTTTTTTTATTAGATTTTAGGCAAGAATAATGAGTTTTCTATTAAGTTATGGTAAGGTTGAGTATGAGAAAATTTAGTCTTTGGGAAAAATGCCATATTCACATTTTTACATGGAAAATGCAATTTTTTGTTTTGTTATGTATGTACATTTATGGCCCGTATCTGTTCACATGAAATAATTGCTTAGAATAATCATTTATGCAAATTGATGTGGTCTGATGCCAAGTTTAGGATGGGTAGGGAGCTGTAATGCAAGTGTTTATTCCTTGAGCGGGACGGCTTCAATTAATGATCTGTTTTTATTTACTTGATGATAATGTAAAAAGTGAGTTACATAATGCTATAGGGGTTGAGTAAAGGGGAAAGGAGTTATATTACAATGAGGTGGATGCTTGGTAAAGGTAGTTATTTGGATATGAAAATGATAATAATGCATAATGTTTTCGTCCAAAAAGGTGATAGTAGTAATTATTTTTTTGTTAAATTTGGATCGTGATGAAATGTAGTACTTAGTTTGCATTAATTATGGTTGATTCCATCCAAATTTGGGCTTGTTTGTATGTAATTTGCAGGTTGATGGTGCTAAAATTTCTTGTAGATTTGAACAAGATACTTAAATGAGCTTACATTTCTTCAAATTGTGAATGGTTTATGGATGGTAGTACACAATTCTTACAATGAGGTGGATGCTTGGTAAAGGTAGTTATTTGGATATGAAAATGATAATAATGCATAATGTTTTCGTCCAAAAAGGTGATAGTAGTAATTATTTTTTTGTTAAATTTGGTTCGTGATGAAATGTAGTACTTAGTTTGCATTAATTATGGTTGATTCCATCCAAATTTGAGCTTGTTTGTATGTAATTTGCAGGTTGATGGTGCTAAAATTTCTTGTAGATTTGAACAAGATACTTAAATGAGCTTACATTTCTTCAAATTGTGAATGGTTTATGGATGGTAGTACACAATTCTTAAAGTTTTTATTACTTTCCATCTACTTGCACATAATTTTGTAGTCACACAATTGATGCTTTTCTCATTCTGGTGATGTTTTATTGTAGTATTTTTATTTTATTTTACTAAGCAGGATGGGAATTAGAAATTTTAGGATGACGTGAGAAAATGTATTTAGCAGATGAATTTGCCAACATTTAATGTCACATACTGTGGTTAACTTGTTGCTTTTCTAATGCATGACTGCTAATGTTTGAAATGCATTAGCCTGTCTCAATCCTTTTTTTTTTTTTGGTGGGGGGGGATCAAGCATAAACAATCGGTGCTTGCTAATTGTAAGTTTAGGATTTTGGCCTTTTTTTGGTGGTTTTCTCTTGGCTAATTATAATCAGCCAATAATTATTTTTTAGAAGTACTGGCTAATTATTTTTTCGATTCTTGGCTGATAGCAGTCGGAAATTTGGAGTCAATTTTATCTTTCAGCATGATTTTTACTTTTCCAGGTCTGTTGTTTTGTTTCTCAGAAATCTGGTATTTATAAAGTTCACGTTATGTTCTGAAAATTTTTTCCCTTGAGAATTTTTCTCAGTTTGCTGCAGTCAAGAAAAGAAAATATTAACTAGATTTGGCCATGTGGTATGGGTACTGTATAACTCCACTTTCTCTTTATATTTTTGTGCTAAGCAGGATGGGAATTAGAAATTTTAGGATGACGTGAGAAAATGTATTTAGCAGATGAATTTGCCAACATTTAATGTCACATACTGTGGTTAACTTGTTGCTTTTCTAATGCATGACTGCTAATGTTTGAAATGCATTAGCCTGTCTCAATCCTTTTTTTTTTTTTGGTGGGGGGGGATCAAGCATAAACAATCGGTGCTTGCTAATTGTAAGTTTAGGATTTTGGCCTTTTTTTGGTGGTTTTCTCTTGGCTAATTATAATCAGCCAATAATTATTTTTTAGAAGTACTGGCTAATTATTTTTTCGATTCTTGGCTGATAGCAGTCGGAAATTTGGAGTCAATTTTATCTTTCAGCATGATTTTTACTTTTCCAGGTCTGTTGTTTTGTTTCTCAGAAATCTGGTATTTATAAAGTTCACGTTATGTTCTGAAAATTTTTTCCCTTGAGAATTTTTCTCAGTTTGCTGCAGTCAAGAAAAGAAAATATTAACTAGATTTGGCCATGTGGTATGGGTACTGTATAACTCCACTTTCTCTTTATATTTTTGTGCTTCACTCTCTCATGATCTCCTAGAAATTCCGCACTCAAAGTTACTGGTTTGGTGATGTCTATAAACTATATATAGTACTGTATTTTTTCCTTCTTCGGAACCCTTTTTTTTGGTTTCTACATATCCATTTTTCCTGGTTACAAGATGAGGAATTGAGATATACAATCAACGGATGGTTTTTATCCTTTTTTTTTTGTTTTCTTTGGAGTGGTGCACGATTCACCTCACAGGGTCATAAACATATCTATACTTATTATCCCTTTTTTTCTAATGAGCTTCCTTTCGATTGATCAGCATCAAAGGGAATACCCACAACAATACATCAAGATATTACCTGAAATACACTAATAAGCAAACACTATTTGGTTGGAAGATAGAAAAATCAATTCCAAGTGCAGTACATAAGTCCCGATTGGCCTTTATGTGAGCTACTCTATTTCATTCTGCTATGACTACTTTGATAGCTGCAAGTAGGGTTGTTGGTGAGCCGAGCTACTCGCGAGTAGCTCGCGAGTAGCTCGGTCAACAACTCGACTCGAACTCGGGTTGACCGAGTTCGAGTCGAGTTTCGAGTTACTCGACTCCAAATCGAGTCGAGTATCGAGCCCCTATTTCCGAGCTCGTGGCTCGTCGAGTAGCTCGACGAGCCAGAGTTAATTAAATAAAATAATTATAATTTAAATAATATATATTTATTATAATTATAAAATGACTATTATGGGTATAAGTTATATGAAATTTACAATATTACCTTCTTTATAATAAAATCTTATAATGGCAAAAAAGTAATAACATAATTGTAAAAAACACTAAAAAGAAAAAATGTCTAAAATCCTTCTCTGTGCCGACTGTGCGACTTTCTTCTCTGTTCGAAGCCTAGCAAAAAAATTCACTTTACCAATCTACACCCTCACTCCGTTCGTCGCCGACGCCGTTGCTCGCCGCATCTGTGAGACTCCATCGCCATCGCCATCGCCTTAACAAGTCCCAAGTCCCAAGTCCCAAATCGAAGCTGCTCTCTGCCTCTCCGGCCTCCGCTAGTCCGCCGCGCTGTACGTCTCCTGTCGGCTGTGTCCTGCCGTGCTGGTTCATCGCTGCCGAGTGTCGAAGACGAAGCACCAAGATCTCACTAGTTCATCGCTGGTTCATCACTGCTCATCTCTGGCTCACTTAGGTAAGTGCTCCTCTGTTTTTGGCTCTGTGTCTCTGGCATTAAAATGGGCCAAGATCGACTAGGAAACTTGTTATCCTGAATTGATAAGGGGACGGAATCTGAGCTTCCAATTGCAAACTCTAACTGTTGTAGTAGTTTAGATTAGGTGTGATATAACATAAGCTTTGTATTTTATACACAAGAAGCTCTCTCCAGTTGTGCAGCCTTTAAAAGTTAAGGCCTTGGGGAAAAATTCCACCTTTTACCCGTTAGAAAGATTGGCCTCATGCTTTTGAATATACATGCCGCATACGTTGATTGAGCTGAATGTCTTGGTTTCTGATCATTTTTGGGCTAGTTATTGCTTTAATTTGAGTGAGAATCCGGCAAAATTTTAATGCCCATTTACTGTTCGACAAAATGCTTGATTGAAAGTTTTAGTTGAAGGGTGATTGGTCTGCATTTTTGCACATGAAAAATACTGGCCAAGTCGGCTAGTTCACTTCCTCGCATAGTCGCATCTAAGAATTTTTGGTGTGTTGATGTCTTACATTTTTCTGCTCCTTATGCTTCCGGTCGAGTGAATTCGAATTGATGTTATGAGAGGGAGTGTTGTGAGTCTCATTGTTTGTTGGAATGGTTAGAAATTGAAGCCAGATTTCTGGTTGCTGAATGGTAATTGATATTTGCTCGTTGGAGAAGATGATCACTTGTCCAAAATTGCAATTACAGTCCCTCCGTTTTCTTTTTGTTTAGTGATTTGGTCCTGTCTTTTCCTGAGCTTCATATTTGCCTCCAACACCATCATAAGTCCCTTAATTAGGTCCCTGCTTTGTTGCATTTTCGTCAAATCGAGTCAAAAAGCTTGATAAGACTCGACTTGATAAGGCTCGATTAAAGATCGAGCCTTATCGAGTCGAGTCTCGAGCCTGAGGAAATTCTTCGAGTCGATCTTCGAGTATCGATTTTCTTGGCTCGATCGAGCTCGAGTCGAGCTCGAGCCTATGTGTGTATGAGTCGAGTCGAGCTCGAGTATAGTGATACTCGAGCTCGACTCGGCTCGATTACATCCCTAGGCTGCAAGCGCATAATAAAGCACTCCATCATCAGGAATGATGATATTGGATTGGTAAATCTGACTAAACTCAAGCTTTTCTTTTCTTTCATGGTGACTTCTCAGATTAAGAAACTCAATTGCAGAACTATGTTAACAAAATGGCACTTCTCACATGTGCAGAAACATCTCATCAGAGGTTGTTTTCATTAGGTAGAAATTGAAATGTTGATATTTTGGATAGTTAATTTTAGTGTAAATTTTTGTTTGTTTAAATGGTGTTATTTTCATTGACCTTGCTATATTGTGTATGGAAGTGGTAATTAGGTTTATGGATCTAGCAAATTCAATGTTTACTTTGTTTTGATCTCTAATTTGTGGGGAATTTTATTAGATTGATATACTAATCATGAAGGAAAAAAACTGCCATAGTCGTTGCAATCTTTTAGCTCGTAGTGGTCCTTAAGGTATTACTTTCTTGTGCAATTTTTTGTGGTTATTGAATTTTAAGGTATTGGCTTAACCTCTATGATTCTCTATTCCATTATATAGGCGAATCAGCTCAGGGTACAACTATTACATAGCGATAAAGGATTGAATAATAAATCTTGTATTCCTGTATATTTTCCACTATTTGGACATTTGGATCATCAGGTGCTTAACGATAATCTTTTAGTGATAGTTTTGAGCTCATAGCCAAACAAAATAGAGCTTCTTAGTGATAGTTGGTAATCATCTTTCCGTTTTGTTCATTACCAAGCATTGTAAGGGAAAGGATTTTCATTTTTGTGTTCTACTTGCCAATGTATATTGTTGCTTCATGAATAATGTCTGTTAAAGATGTAATCACAAAATTTCTCATGACTCAGTAGTGTCCTAACTTGTGCTGAGGCTACCCTTGCCAACTATGAGTTTTACATGGTTTTGCAGCCTATATTTTCCTTCATTTATTGCATTGCCTAGAGGACAATATAAGCTCTTCCCCTCCGATGGACTGCTGCTTAAGCTTATAGATTACCTCTTAAGTAATTTTACAAGTTGGATTGTTTAGGAAATTTTCTTTTCCATGGTGTTGTCTGGTTGTAGATGATTTATGTTATTCTTACTTGCATTTGAGACTGGTAAGATTGAAGTCTCAAAACTTGAGTACTCTCTTAAATTATCTCACCTACTTATGTGCCTATAATTTGCTAAAGAAAATGACCTTTTGTTTATTTAGCTCAACCTAAGCTTTTGCCTTTCTTGGATTTCTTCTGGAGTTGGAAGCAAAAATGGCCACCTGTGAAGAACAACTGGTGAGACAAAACGTAAGTTTTGTTGTGTCATTCTGATTTAATTTTTTCCTTTAAATTGCTCTTTTGAGACCTGGTATGCTTTTCTCTTTGGTCATTTTCAATGGCCTTTGCTCTTTTCAAACTCATTCAAATTTTCTTTTTAATCATTTTTTGGCGTCTTTCACGTAGGTATTTTGTTGATCTGCTCAAAAAAAACATTCCCTATGGTAACTAAAAGATACACTTGTTTAAAATATATTTCTTCATCTTCAAAATGTATTTCTTTTTGCTTCAGTTCTTCTGTTTTTTTTTCCTTCATTGGGTTTCCAACACTTGTAGAACTAATGAATTTCTTCTCTAGGAATCAGGAACTTCTCTGCCAAGTTGGTCATTGGCCAAAATTTTGAGTTACAAAAGATCTTGGGATGCTACTCTTTTGAATGCTTTGTGTTCAATTTTTTTGTTTTTTAGCAAAGAAAATTGTCTTTGTTAAAACCTTTTGAATATTTGTTTTATGAGCCTTAAGTGGATATTAAACCAAGTATTTTCAGCAATCTTTTTTTGATTAATTGTTTCTGATTCACTGGATCTTATAAATAGTTTTCCTGTTTGTAGGTGGTTAAAGTTTTGCCCAACACAAGGATTCTCAAATATTAGATTCTAAGCACCTGCTTGAAATAGTAAGTTATTGTTTTAACACCTTAAATGTTCTATTCATTTGCCGAAAAAAGAATTAACTTACTGCATAACTGTAGTTTTGCCTCTTTAATCATAGACTATGATGTTTGGTAGCTTAGAAATTCTTGTTAGAAAATTCAGTTTTAGTTGATTTAAATATGTATTTACAAAACATGATGTTCTCTTAGATTTGTAACATCTCTCACCTAATAGTTTCTCTCACCTAATTTGGCATATCTTGATTGTATTATTGATAAAGATGTGCTGAGAAATGAGCTTCAGTTATATATCCAAACAGTGGTTTTTTCTATTCCTCGTGAGATTTGCTTCGGTTGTACATTTTCTTCTCTCAAGTTAAATTGAAAAGTTATTCTGTTTACTGATTTTATTACATGGACGCTTGTCTTGGGAGATTGGTATTGATCATCATTTAAGCTGTGAGGAATGAATGAAAAAAAAAAGCATACCTAGCAAAAAACCCTTCACCATTTTTCAAGTTCTTTGGGGCATTGTGATTTCTTTCACTGGCTGGTCCTCATTGAATTATCAAAACAAATCTAATCTTTCTATGTTGGCAAACCGCAATCCTTTCCTCTTTTGAATACCTCTAATTACTCCTCAGAACCCAAACAGACCATGGCTAGGGAAAAATATGAAGTTATGATTCTATAGAGACTCGTCCTAAGGATGGCTTTTGAAAACTTATCACTGGTAGGGTTTCAAAAGGCAATCTTGGAGTTGCTGTAGTTGTAAGGAATTAATATGGATTTTGGACCATCGGATCAGTAAACGATCAGGAATAGCTTCCAATCTTCATAGATCATTATTGCTACAAACTGGAATTAGAAGTTTATGCTATTAAAATTTTTAATCTTTTAAACCAATATGATACTGCTATTTACAATGTGCTATGGTTATATCTGATTGTAGGTGTCTTATCGTATTTTGGCAGCAAGTCTTGATCAAAGCATGTAAGCAGTGAAGCAAATCAGATGGTAGATTGTTTAGCTAATGTATAGGATGCTAACAACAAGATATCTTTTATTATGATGTTATGTCCCACCATCTTTTAGTTGCAAGATGACTGTTTGGTAGGGGTGGGCACGGGTCGGGTACCCGCCCCTAACATGATTTGGCTGACCCGACCCTAATATATCGGATCAGCCATTTTGCGACCCTAACCCGCTCCTAATATTTTCGGGTACCCGAATAGCGGGTACCCGAAAAAAAGGGGCGGGTCATAGGGTACTCGACCCTAAAAAAAACTATTTTTCAATAAAAAAAATTTATTTTCTACTTAATATCAACATGTTTTTCAATAAAAAAAAACATGCTTTTCCAATTAATATTGGTTGAGATATTGTAATTAAAGTCCATACATCACCATTCTCACACATTTCATCCAATAATCAAATCGATCTCATAAATTTAGTACATATTAGAATATCTAATAGACAAAACGAAGTTTCATAATAATTTTGAGTACATCACCATTTTCACACATTTCATACTTCTACAACACAACAAACACAAGGATAATAAGTATTTGGTAACTTCCCCAAGGATAATATGGTACAAGACCGCATCTCAAATAAGTCAATTGTGAAATCAAGTTCGGAAAAGAATTGAATAGAACTAATTATTTTTGAAAAAAATATAACCAAAAATAATGTTAAAAATCTTCCCCAACTTCTTTACATCTTTGGAATAGACCTTATGGTATTAAGGTGATGAAAAAGAAAAATAAATTTCTTACACTAAATAAAAGAGACAAATTAAAGAGATATAATTGCAAATGAATGACACAAATATTTTAATTATCTAGCTAACAGAAAATTGAAACTCCAAACAAAAATCTTTGATTGAATTGATGCAAGATTTGCAGGAAAGATCGATGGAGGTAGAATAAAAATAAAAAAGATGAAAGGGATGAACAATTTTTATAACAGAGTTTCACAAATTTTTTTTTTCATTTTGTTCATGTTTCACCGAGAATATTCGCTTTCTTCAAAAAAAATGAAAAGAGTAGATCATATAGGATTAGAATATGAGGTTGCGAGCCACTTCACTTGCACTTAGAATTAAAAATTACAAAATTATAAAATGATCCCTACTTTTTTAATATTTATAAAATATACCCTGCGGGTCGGGTACCCGCGGGTTTTTATTTTTCTGATCCGTATCCGTACCCGATTTTTTGGGTACCCGACCCTCATTGGCCCCGCTAAGAAAAATTGGATCAGGTATCCTATTTTTCGGATCGGATCGGATCGAGTTCATCGGGTTTTCGGATCGGCGGGTTTTTTTGCCCACCCCTACTGTTTGGGGATTTTATTTTCATTTTGTATGATTGTATATTATTTTAAAGTTCCTTTTATGAAAAAAAACTTCTAAAACTATGAAAAGCTAAGACTGTAGCTTATTTTTACTATTTAATAAAATTACAAAAACATAACTGCAAAGATAGTGATGCATTTTTATGTAACTTTTCATATTTAATATCTAAATTTGAATGATTGGGCATTTATGGGCAATATTGAAAATCACACCGCACATCGTGCGGTGTTATCCTCCTAGTATATGTATCAAAAGGAGTGAGCCTAATCCAACAAGACGTTGGTCACAATTAACAAAGTGATGGCCGAATTTCACTTCTAAATTTGTCCAAAAATTAGCACATTTTTCTCTCTCTCTATAAGTGTGTTAGGTCAGTACTTGCAAATTCTAGCATAATGATCGACAATCTTTCACCAAGGCATTAGTGTATAGTGGAGCCTCGTGCTTAGACTTCATGATGTGTACAACAATGTTTAAAGCTGGATTCAACAATGACGTGGCAAGAGAATCTTGAACATAAGTATCTTAGATGAAGAAAAAGAAAGGAGCACAAAAGAAAGAAAAGTAAATAAGAAAGAAGGAAAAACTGTGGAAGTGAACTATTTGGCTAATTGCCCTTCAACTTTGTGATTCTGTTGGACTATTGAATGTACTTGGAATGTCACTGGACATTATCTCAATCTTTAATTGTTTTTCCTATCGGAGTGGAGGACGGGGTGAGAAGAGGCTAATAGTATAAGTTGGAGATTTGAATTTGTATATAGGTGGATTTTGTATTTAACGTTAAAACTTTGCCAACTTTCTTTTGAGAGATGTACGTATTAAATAGTTTAAAACAGCTTTAGTATGTTTCCATGTTTCTTCTATGTTTTTTAAGTGTATTTGTATGTTTATTAAAAGTTAAGCCAAAAGTGACTTTTTCAAAGTTGACGAGCATTAAGAAAAATGAAGAAGTTAACTCCTCAATTTGCATTTTATTTGTTTATGATTCATGAAATGGGGTTGGGTGCTACGTTTGGATCATTTTAAATTTATTTGAAGTGTTAAACTTTGTTAAAAAGTGATTTAAATTATATTTCGAAAAATAAGGAAGTTGTGCAAAAAATGACTAAAGTGCATAAATCTGCACTTTAGTACAAACCTCAGGGATCCGGGAGGGGATCTGCCAGGTTATCTCACGGATCCAGATCGTGGATCCTAAAGGTTTGTCTTTGAAAAACCTGTTCGAAATTGTTCTTCATTTTTTCATTTTCATTCCTCAAGAACCCGCACCAACACACAACACACTTTAATAAATTTTTATTTTTAACCATTTTTCTTCTTTTAAATCAAAATACAAACACCTCAAACATCCCTTGAAATAACTTTCACTGATTAAAATCAGCCACAAATTTTTCAACTTTTGGATCGAATCTCTTAAACATAGGGTTTTTAATTTTGAAATTCAATAATTTGGGAGTCATTTTGAGTGAAATTTTTGAGGGTTTAAACATTATTTGCATCAACAATCGTCACTTGAGATAAATTTTTTTAAATGTAATTTGGTAATTTGAATGTTACCATTTGAACATTTCTTGAATTTTTTAGAAATTTTCAAATAGTAAAATTGTGATGTTATTTGTTGATATTTATGAGTTCCATGATGCTTATTTAGCATCTCTAAACATGTTTATATAATCAAAAGTGGGAATGCACTGATCTATGCAATATTTCAATTATATATATATATATATATATATATATATATATTCCTATATTATGCTCAAAATGGTAATTGATTTTGAAATGCTGTTAAACATAATTAGATGATTCAAATAGTTGAAATATTACTTGTTTATGATGCTTAGATGTATACATTTATTATACGATGACGTTTTATGATGCTTACTTGTTTATGACCTCTGTCATTACTTTTACATTAATAGAACATTTATAGTTTGTTTTAGGTACTAATGGTTTCAAGTGAACCTCATAAAAATTTGTAGAATTGCGGACAATAGATTGTAAACTTCATATTATCGCCATTTCAATCACTATAATAGAGGAGTATTACTTTTTTTATTTTGATTTTTTTCTTACACATTGAGAATAATTTTTTAAATTTGCCCAAAAATTTTTTAAATTTTTTCAATTTCATCTGAAGGGTAAAAGTTCCAAACTATTAGTAACTCAAATTTTTGAATTTTTTGAAGTGAATATATGTGACTATAGAAATTCATTTCTTATTTAATTTGGAATATGTTAATATGTGATTATAATTTATGTTTTAAAGAATGTATATCTCTTAAAATGAAGAAAATTGTGCCTAAATTTTGTTTGTTTGATGAAATTTTTTCTCTTTATTTGATTTTGTAAGTTAAGTGATTAAATATGATAATAAATATAATACTCTTCCTAAGATTAGTCTTTAGTGAAAATGTTTATTTATTATCTTTACTTTAGAGAAAAATTAAAAAAGAGAAGAAGAATAAGAGTTTTTCTATTTTAATGGTTCTTGTAGTTAGTAACAAAAAATTTTTATCTAAAAATATTGACTTTCGCATAAAAATAATACTTGAATTAATAGTATATGAAATAATTCAAGAATATGAAGTGTTGTGTAATCGAAAATATTTATTTAAAAATGTTGACTCTCGCGTCAAAGGACAATTTTATTACTTGAGTAAGTATTTGATATGTATATGAATAAATCTTTAGATTGAAAAAAAAAATGATCATGGGATTAGCAGGTTACTTAAGATTTCGCTGTAGACTAAATATATAAAAAAATCATATTAATCAAAATAATGCACAGTTTAAATATATAATAATCAGATTAATTAGATCCCGAAAATATCGGTCAGTATAGTCCGATCAAGAGAATATCGGACTGTTTTAACGTTAAACATTAAAAAAATTAGATTAATAGAAATTATTGGATATAGGACCTACATTGTTGGAATTATTGGCTATCCTTGCCGTTTTTTTTTTTTGGCAATTTCGGGCAATAGCACATCATAGGTATCATATATCCGCCCTTCGTTTGGCTACGATGTACGAGTCTAGGCTACAATTAATTCTCTCCGTGATGATTCTGTATTTTTCCTTCCTATCCTCACATTCCAGGGCTTTATCCAGCACGCGCAGAAAACACCTTTCTCCTTCCATTGTAACTTTGACTACCACATCAAAATCAGCTTTAACCGGAACATCGATATAGAATAGGAAATCTCTCGGTCGACGAGATCGCTCCTGAAGAAGCCATGGTGGAGCGACTCTTCAACGTTCACCAATCAAAAACTGAAAAAAATTCTGGCCTAGTGGCCGGAATCTCGCCGAAAAATGTTTTCAAGAGTTTCTATGGTCGAATTTTACTACAAACATGATCCTTGCAGCCTCAGGGGCTTGTTTAAATATCAAACAAGTTCATTAAGCACCAAAAATTATGAGAAAACAAGATCTAAAATTTCAACCCATGAAACTCATATAATGGCTTGAAAAATTACATTTAAAACGTTAAACCAACCAAGAGAGGAGGTTAGAATTATTCACATTCTCATGTAAATCAATCAAGCTTTTGATCATTCACGAATCTCTTTGTATGTCAAAGGATTCTGCCCTTGTGTGATTAGTGGTTAAAAAAAAAAAGCTTGCTCTCCATTATTCTAAACAACTCTTCTCCTAAAGACTATGAAAAAAATAATAATTTGCCATCAATTTGTAGTTTCTAATTAAATCTAACTAGAAAAGATTGTGGGAAAATAGTCAACACAATATTTTGCTGAAAAAGTTTGCTTTATTGGCTCGGTATCTCTCGAAATCGAGGCCATAAAAATTATGGATACCCAAGGGTAAAAAAACAACTTAGCTGTATATATGACAAAGTATAGATTATGGGGGCGTTATAGCAAAATTACAATTAGGATATGATGATCATTAAAATGAGTCACGTAATTAATTGACACAAAGCAACGACGTGGCTGGCAATTCTTTAAGGGACAGAAGATTTGAAGCGACATGAATTATTTCCAATGCGTTTCTACGCATCAAAGCCTCATCGAGGCAGGAAAAGGGGGGAAAAAGTGCATGACTGAGGGTCTGTTTGGTTGGAAGTAAAATGTTTTCCTTGGGAAAATATTTTCCGTGGAAGTAATTTTCCATGAAAATCATTTCCCTTTCATCATTTTCAGGTGTTTGGTTAGCTTATTGAAAATATTTTCTTACTTCATTTTTCTGGTGTTTGTTTAACTTTTGAAATATTTTCACTTTTATCTCTATCTTTACTTTCTACACATTATAACTACATACTTCTTCCCATGCAAAATAAGAAAATTTATCTCATTGTTTAACTTTAAAAAATCTTGGAGAAATGTATATATGAATAACAAATATCTCCTTAAGCAATAAACAAATTGCTGGTCATTTAGTGTCAAATATCAATCACATGCAATGCTTATTGTGACATATATCTTGCACTCTCACTGCTGAAAGTTTCTCTAGAAAAGAATGTCCTTATTATACATAATTAATTACTAGCATAGGATGAGCAGGATGAGGTTTTTTTTTATTTTGAATATACTAGGGGGAGGGTTGGGTTGGGTGGTACGGGGGAGGGAGTGTAAGGAAGAGGTCTTGGGTTCGAGTCTTCCTGTTTACACTAAAAAAAAAAAAAAAAGAACATACTACAAGATGATTTCAGTAAGTTTGGAACATACTACAGGCAAGATGTATGCATTTCGGAAAACAACTTCAGTAAGTTTGGAAGGGAAGTTGTTTTCCATAAGATGAGTGAAAATATTTTAAATCGGAAAATGTTTTCAGTAACTTTTGTGCAACCAAACACGGAAAATTAGGAAAATATTTTCCTGGAAAATATTTTCACTCGAAACAAACAGACCCTGAAAGATGTGCCTTGCATGGATGAAAAATTGCTCCAGGTGAAGGGCTTTATTATACAATATACAACGAAGTATTTACTGAATTGGACAATTAGAATATCAGGGAAAGAAAGTACAGGATACCCGCCTTAAAATCAGTAAGTTATTTGGGATTATTTGAGATATTTTTACTGTAGCACTTTTTGTGATGTGATGTATATGAGATAAAAAGATATTGGGAAGATAAAAAGGTGTATTGGAAATTGTAAAAATGATGTAAGCAAATAAAATTGGGAAAATATGAAGCAATCCAAACAAACCAAGTACTGTCATTGTCCACGGTCAAGTCTAAGAATCGCAAGTGCTTTTTTCTCAGATGAATCTCCATTCTGGAAGCTTAATGCAATTTTCTGAGCAGATTTCAGTGCCAAAGTAATTGCTATATAAATCAACGTTGTGCATGTTTGAGACCCCAAATGTTTTGTCTCTGATGCAATTTTGAGGCATATACTTGTAATTGCTATACAAGCTTTAATTGACGACACAAAATAAATCTGAAACCTTAACAAGATGACAGCACGAATTTGATTCAATTTGCATACAATCTAATGTGGTAGGTGATCCTGAATTTTTGTAGCCCAATGGATCTTGAATTTTTGAGGCGTTTCTAAACTCAATATTCACCTACTCAGTAACGTTTGACCAAACTTTAATAGTGTAGTAAAATCTTATCAAATTTTAAGGGACTTAGAGCAATTAATCCCCCACTTAAATGAGTTAGAAAGATATAATAGTAGTTTTGTAATTGGCAAAAACTTTTTCTATTAGAAAAGTAAAATTTTATCCTTTTTAGCTTTTTTGAGCGAAAAGTTGATTGCTCCATTGTTCCCAAAAGCTTTGTATAATCATACATTAAGCTAAAATTTTGTCAAGTGTTATTGACAAAATGTGAAGTGATGATGGAAGGGTTTAATGGGAACAGAATTTCCACCTTAGAAGGTTTAATCGTGACTTAAATCTTAATTTTTAACGGCTGGATTGACATTTTGATCTGTTTTAAAGGGCCATATTAAAATTTACCCTAACCGATAGGATTTAGCCAAGAGGTGAAATTACACAGAAGCCACCAGACTTGGAGCATATTACCAGTCAACTACAATCCAACTTTCACTCACCAGCCTCACACCCTTTTTTTTTTTTTATTTGTCGATACGATAGACTTATATAGGAGGGATCTGGAGAGTGAACCACCTACCGGCCCAGACAAATGCGCACTCCTCTAAAAGAGTGGCTTGCCACATTTTGTGGCCAATGGTGGGAGACAAGGTTTGATCCCCGGTGACCTCAGTGGTTACCAGCCTCACACTCCACTGCATCTCTTAACGCGAATGACTAAATACTGCTCACATTGTGCACACCATCAATACTACAGGTACTAGTATTATGGCAAGAAACTTGATACCCTCTTCTTCAACACAATCTTGAATTTGAATTTTGTGGATGAAGAAAAGAATGTCGGGAGAATCAACCCAGAAAGAGAGTTGACAACGCTCAACTCCAAATTAGTCGAAACAAATGCGATCACCGAATAATATAATTTATAGCAAGATGTATATGACAAATCGGCATTCTACTGTACCAAACTCAGATTCACACTTTCATATTTGTAGTTTGTATCTTACATGGTCATCTATCTAAATCATAAAGATGGTCGCTAATGAACAAAAACAAAATAAAAATACAACAGAAGCAGCTTGCACGCCGTTTCTAAAAAACAAGATGTAAAATAGCAAGTTCCAAAATTAACCAAATGCTCTTAGCATTAAGGAAGGAGGGCGTCTCAGCAGTGACACAGTTCAAAGGGCCACACCAATTGCTAATAATAGTTAACCAGATGAACCCGCATATAACATACACTACTGATATTTCAAACAAAACAAATAGAACAAATGTAAGCGGTTGACAAATATCTTATATCCATACATATAGCAATACACGTCTACACAAACAGCTATTTGGACGACAGGAAAGGTGTTTACACAGAAGAATCACATTCGCGCAAGCAAATCACCTTATACTTCACCGTTTCAGCTATTTGGTTGACTAAAACGGAGTCGTACGGAAGAATCACACGACCGCGAGTAAATCACCTAATAACCTTCAATTCACATCCTTGAGCTGAAAGCAAGCCCGCTTACTACCATCACCGAGGATATTTGTATAGACCACTGACTTGAATCAAGAACATTCCTAAAAAATGCTTAATGATACAGCAAGGATCGTGTTTTGGTTTGTTTCAAAAAAAAAAAAAAAAAAAACAACAATCTCACGGTGTGGATTGATATTCCTTCACTTGAAATGCTTCTAGTCTGCATAACTTGCTTCCTAGACAGGAAAAACGACCTGCAAGCAAAAATCTCAGTAAGCCAGATTCAGATAAGCCGGGGGCTTCGCAAGAAAGGATACCTGTACCTGCAAAATTTGTCTAGCGCTTAGCATGCAAAAACAGTACTTGCTATTCTAGCAGGTAGGGGCCATAAACAAGTTTTTTGCACCTGATGTCATTAACACAATAAATCTGACAAACTGTCCCAAAACATAAAAGGTTTAGATATCCTTCGCAAAAACAGTTGTTTGAAAGGAAAATCAGATCACGTCATGTCATAGCCAGCAACCCAATGCAAACATACCACTTTGGTGTAAACTAATATTGGGCGACCAGAAAAGGAAGAGATGTACCACTTTCTTATTCAATCAAAGCATTATTAAGGTTGTGTGGACAGGCATAAAGCACTGCAACCACTGAGTGAAAGAATGAGAACTAAGAAACAAATAGTGCAGCCATTCTGACACAGTTTAAGTAGGATGAACTGTGGAGTAATACATGTAAAGCTACAGCTAGTCACCTGCCCAAGATACAAAAGGTTATGTCCTATATAAGATTGGTCCTAAAATTTGCTTAAGCAGGATAAAGATTAGACAGAGGAAAGTGATCTTTAAAAGATCACAATCAGTAAACACATGCTGCTGCTCCCTGCCCCCTTCTTCTCTCCCCCTTCCCCCCCCCCCAACCCCCCACCAAAAAAAAAAAATCTTTTTCTGTAATGATACTGAAAAATGGGGAAACTTCAAGGGTAATGGCACACCCGCTCATGTTCTAAAGTGGATTTCCTTTATAACTGGTACAAACATGAACTGCTCATGTTCTAAGGTGGACTTCCCTTATAACCGGGACAAACATGTCTTTGTCTTGAATATATAATTGGAGGGAGGAAGAAATTTTGCTTTCAGAGAAAATCATAGCGCAGCGAACCTGCCTGCACGGTGAAAAATGAGCAGTAAGCCACTTTCGAAGACTGGGTTATCTTTGCAATTACTTCCAGATTGTTGCCGCAAAAATTTCAGTTAGGAATGCACACAATTAAGATTGCACCTATGAATAACCAAAAATGCTTTTTTACAAGATACTATTACCCTTGATAATGGCAAAACAGTATAATATATTGTTGCTTTCAAGAAACATAAGCATTCAAAAGTTTTTCAGATGATGGGGAAAGTGCATCATCAAGACCAACTTAACAAAAAGGCTGTTCTCTCAAGAAGCCCCTAAGCTGAGTACGTGTGAAAATAAAAGGCCAGAAAGTCTCAAGACATGCTGCATGAGAAATTATTAACTTACATCAGTAACCATGATTTCCATCTTCCTCTTGATGCTTCTGATATTCATCATTGGATGAATGTTCCGTCTTCCCACCACCACCACTGCCATTATTGGTGACAAAACTGCTGCTACCTTTTGCAGAGTCTGCCTGCTCCTTTTCTCTGTTCCATTGCTCAATCATTGCCCTTCTCTCTGCACTGCCTTCTCTAGTTGGGCTCCTATTTCTCCTCTCCCCAGGACTGCTGTTATAACTTTTAGTGAAACCCCCGTCCTGTTCCCTTTCCTTGTTCCATTGTTCAATCATTGCCCTTCTCTCAATGCTTCCCTCCCTAATAGGACTCCGATTTCTCCTTCCCCCGGGGCTTCTGCTTCGTCCACCCCTTCGTCCAGGACTCCTACTTCTAGGCCTCCTGCTCCTTTCATGGGCGAGATGATCACCTCTTCTAGGAAAACCACGACCACCCCGCGGACGCTCCCCATAGTTGAACTGACGCTGAGGACTAGCACTTCTACTTCGACTGCGGCTGCGCCTCCTCTTACTCCTCCCAAATAACTGGCGTCTCAATTCTCTTCGACACAAAGAAGCAAAAGGATCAAATGGATCAATGGTGAGAATACTGGGTAATAAGGCAGAAGCCACGTTTTAAAATGAACCAAATGACAAACTCACCTGCTTATCTTCTTCAGATGCATAAAATTGCAGTAGCCACCTCGATTGCAAACATTTTCCTCATACTGCCTACAAGTAGCCTCACGGAAATCCGTCACTGGGGAGAAGTCCACGATTATTGGACGGCCTAAAATTTCAAAACACCTATTAGCTGTTAAATAAGAAGACAACCACCTAGCACTTTTGGTTAAAGAACTCAAAACACTGTTCCAGAAGACTACTTCTTTGGCGGTAATAGCAAGCATAATTTTTTGCAATTCTGCAAAAAAATGCTAATCCTAGAAATAAAGTTTGAAATCAAGATGTACAATGCATATAATTCCACCCAAAAAGCAGAACTACTGGCAAGGAATCAAATACTAAAAACGTGGTATACATAGCTTAAGATACTAACTTTAATCTGTGATGCATCTTTCATTCTCTAACAATATCGACCACTTGAATCATTTCTGACATGGCAACTTAATTATGGTATTCTGAACATATAAATTTGAAACCGAGTAAACCATTTAGAGAAAAAATTGAAATCCAATAAACTTATGCACTTAAGCTAGAAGTCATACATCAAAACTTTATGGAGCACAAAATTTGCAAAAGATGCCAAGAGCTACTAGGTACTCAAAAGCCAGATGTAGGCAGTATCTTTCCCAGCAAGGAGGAGAAGCACCATCCATAGCTTCTCCAATATCTTTTCTAGGAGCAAGGAGATATTATATCCCTTTATGTGCGGAACTGTTTTGGCATTTACTAATTCTTGCGGTTCCACTTGAATTCAAAGCTAAAATTTGATTCTGTCAGCAACCAAGTAGAACCGAGATTGAACACTACACCTCTTCTGAGTAAGAAATGCCAAAAACATTCCTCGGTGATTTGACTCTGAGTTTTTAGCTCCAAATTCATTTGGAGGGTGTTACGCACCTAAAGGTATTCCTAAGAGAGATCCTAAGCAGCTTCCCCTCAACCAATCCTAAATTTCCGAATAAAGAAGTAAGTTTCTTCCATTCAAAAACCTCCACATATCCAGGTAAAACTGCCGAGCAGATGTACAGTATATTGTAAAACAAAACAAATCAAATCTCCATTCATAATGATCAAAGAAGGAAGAAATCCTCAAAAACAGTCACCTCCGGCTTGGCCACCACAAAAGCAACAACTATTCTGTCAAAACAATAATGATAAAAAGAAAATGACTAAGAAAGGAAGACTCGCCTGCGTAGAATCGCCCACTAAGGTTCTGAAGCGCGGCGGCCGCATGATCTTCCTCTCTAAACTGCACATATACATTGCCCACCTAAAGCAAAATCACCGAATTCGTTAACCCAGAATACAAAAAATTCCATCCACCAGCAGTTCATAAAGAACTAGGAATCTGAAGTTAAGGGTTATATCACAAAAACCCTAACATTTAAAAAAACAAAAAAAAAAAAAACACACACACACACAAGAGAGAGAGATTTGATAGTCCTACACTCTAATTAAGCACGAAACAATGATTTTTTGTTGGAGGGGAAGGGGGGGTTTACCATGTGGTCCGCCAAATTATCGCAGATATTGAGGTTTTGAATCTCCCCGTACTTGCTGAGCTCTTCGAATAAATCTTCGTAGAAATCTTCGAAATGGTGTTGGATTTTTTTAGGGTCGAGGGGCTGGCCTTGAGGGTCAACACCAGGGGTGATCATATCGGGCCTCTGGTACATGTTGGAGAGCAAGAGAGTAGGACTAATGCTGGGCTTGGTGTGGAGTCGGGAGCAACGGTCGCCGTGGCGGCAGGCTCCGATCTTGAAGTAAAAGGGGCAGTTTACCCTGTCTTTTTCTGTTCCAAATATCGAGGCTAAGTGCTCCGCCATTGCCACTTACTAATAGTACGAGGAAGCAAAAGGGTTTATGTTTCTCGAGTCGGGATTTCCCAATTTTCTTTCGGTCTTGATGGCTTTATGATTCTCCTTGGTAGCTGTTGCTTCTGCCTTCAGGACCGTGCTGTAATTTTCTGTTTGGGCAGCGTGAGGTGAAAAGCAAAGTTAGGTCTTAAAGCTAGAGTTATAAGGAAATAAAAGCTCGCCATATCCAACTGGCTGGTTTGCCCGAGAGGTTAAGGGGGAAGACTTAAGATCTTCTGCACATAAGTGCGCATGGGTTCGAACCCCATAGCCAGCATTGTTTCTTTTTTACTCTTTAAGTTCTTTTTATACTTCTACATTTTTTAGTTTTGGAAGAGAAAAGGACTTGTGTGGTTAACGGACCTATCGCCTACCTAATTAAAAGCAACTAGTATCAACCAGGTTGTTCTCCTTTTTCTGGCCTTTTAGAGTATGTTGACATAGATTTGGGTCTTTTAGAGTATGTTGACATAGATAGATTTGGGAGAGCCAGCACCCATCTATTCGATTAATCTACTTTATGAACTTGAAAAGATTCACCGCTGACAAATTGCTGAAATTAGTCATGAGCTGTTGAAAATACAAAATATCAGAATAGGGTTGATATTTAGAAACACTTAAAAGCAAGATATATTTATTTTTTTCAAGTTGACTCTGATGGAATAAATCTGTGCCATGGCATGATGCAAAATTGTATTTTTCTTTTGGATCAGAATTTATGTATTACTTTCTATCATCTGAAGTACCATTTTTGAAGTTCAACAAGGCCATACTAACAGTGATCTTGTCTGGCACAATATACTTGTATCTAGTTACCAGCTTGAAATTCGGACAGGATCCAGAGTCTTTTTACATTTGAATACATATTAAAAAATCAGCCAAATTTCCTTGAACAAAAATGGTAGTGGTGCCCCCTTTTCTCCAAGTTCGGCAGGTGGAAAAGGCCGTTTTTCAAGCGATATCTTTCTCATTGCTGTTTTCTAGTTTTGCTTGGTACTCCTACTTTCGTTTTTTTTTTTTTTTTGATTCAAGGTCAAATTTCAACCCTTTTACGGTAAATGAGAAAAAAAAATATTAGATTTTGAGGGCCAAATCAAGAAGTTTTTGGAAAGTTTCGAGAGGAGCTCCAACCTTTATAAAAAAATCTGTACATGGCAGCTTATCAAAAGCCTCCTCACTCATGGTTTGATCAGTGTAGGTGACACTTGTACTTCGGTGGCTACTAAAGAAGTTGAGGGGCAAAAATGGCAAGAACTACACATCAATGCATGAATGTGAGCAAAAGAAGCGTGTTCTGAGGGGATTTATTTTTTCTGTGAACGTGGGTGATGCGGATGAAAAATATGTGATACCCAGTTGATAGTTTGTCTTCCTTTGAAAACCGAACTAGACCGGCCAAATCAACCAGTGGAATTGCGAATCAATCGTGATATTGGTCTGGTCACTAGTAAATCCGAAAATTCAATTAAATAAGTCAAATCCGATCAAAAACTAATCCAACTAGTACAAAGCCCGACTTTTGAACCAGTTCATGGTCAGTTTCTTTTTTAAAAAAAAAATTTTAAGTCATCCAAGTTTCCTAATGATTAAAAGGATTTAAAAGAAGGGAAAAAAAATCTTTGAACCAAATTGAATCGATTTGAATTATGAATAAAAAATTCATCCGATTCACTTAACGATTCAAGTTCTAAAACCTTGCCAAACTATACAGCCTATGACTCTGCCGTGCTCCACAATGGGTTTCGAAGAAGCATTGAACCTTGTCAAGGCTGAGAAGCGTTTGTTGCTCTAGAAAGATACGATTGAGTTGCATAGGCTTGTAGCTTGCAAATTTCATGATCAAGAGAGAGAAATAATAACGAGCTGTACATATTCAAGAATGCATGTAAAAAGTACCGAGTTATATTCAATTGGGTAAACTCGTTAAAGATGCCTTAGAGCAAGAAATTGTGGAAATTCTCTCTCTCTCTCTCTCTCTAATATATATATATATATATATATATATATATATATATATATATATATATATATTAAGGGGAAGGTGCAAAAGAATCCCTTTTCTACAAAAAGTAAGCCCTTGCTAACAAAAAATAAAAAAGAAATATAAAGGGGAAAAAAAAAAAACAACTGCTGGCAGCATATTAATGTGCTTTATAATTTTTTTGTTTGCCTCCACAACATAGAGGCCAGCTTCTCCAGTTAGTTTGTTTTGTATTCTACATTCCAGTCTTTGAAGTCGCAACTAGAACTGAAGAGGCAAAAAACAGTAACAACTAATCGCGGGGTTGAATAAATTTGCATACACAAATTTGTTCTTTTTACAGTTTGTGGATTGCGTGCGCTACTACAAATTCTGAAGGGAGAAATTTTGATTTGCCGCAATATGCCACAAAAACATCCATGCAAAAAGTATTGTTCAATGGACGCCTCGTGAGTCGTGACTTTGATTAGCTTTTTCGCTCTCGAGGGCAATTTTGGCTCTCACTTCTGTTCTGTTCCCCGCCCCCGAGTCCTACCAAACCAACTCAGGACCCGGGGCGCTGGGAATCAAGAGAGCTAGCCGGCGGAAGCTTCTGTAAATTACCTCATTCTCAATTAGAGGGTCTTCCACCAACAACTCAGATTTACTTGCCCTAGTCCCTCTTACTAAGGAATCAGAATGAGTTGACTGCTTGTTTCTGCTCAAATTCAAGCATTAGGATCCTACACTCCCACGAAAGTTGTGGCAACCATGTTACCCAAAAATTCCAAAATTCACGGCATAAACTATCCAATACAACTACATAGTTCTAGGGGGGAAAAAAATCCTACTCAAAACTCTAAACGTTATACGACAATATAAACTTGAAAAGGTCCACTTAATTTTTCCCCTTGAATTGTAAAAACTTCCAAGGGAAAGCCTACATTCACATTTTGTAGGAAAAATGTCCTCGCAGCAAAATCAGTGCCAACAATTAATTCACACAGATATATCAGTTCATAGAAACTCCTCAAAAATATCTTGGAAAGATTCAGGAAAATATGGCCAAAATCATTATTACAAGTTCACATGATCAGGATTTTCTAATAAAAGGAAAAGCAGCAAAAGGAAGATTAGATGCTTATCCTCTACAAACTAGCTCTTTGTCACTCACATTAAAACAAAAAGTTTAGCTATGATTATTAATGAACAGGCATCATCGATTTAAGGATGTTCCTATTTGTAGACTTATTCAACCAAGTTTGCTACGATCCCCGCAAAAACTTCAAGATTAAAGCAAATCTAGTAGGGCTCAACTGGTGCACGGAAGCTTGCTCCAGCATAAATAGCATCTGCACCAAGTTCCTCTTCAATTCTCAAGAGCTGCAGCAATAGCGGGATTTCATTCAGTGTAGCTCCCAATCTTTTGCTTAAATTTGACATCAAACTTATATAACCACTAGAAATAAACTTGCATTTATGAAGTGTTATTTCTTCATAACAAAGAGAGCTAATTTGAGAATCAAAAAATAGAAGAAAACATGCATGCAAAGCAATGATAATTACCTGGTTATATTTGGCCAGACGCTCTGATCTGCATGGAGCTCCAGTCTTGATTTGACCCTGAAAAGATCAGAGAATACAAATAGTTAATGCGAACTATAAAAGCATGATGAATGAAACGATATTTTCTACACTCAAATAGAAGATTACCGTTGCCAAACCAACAGAGAGATCAGCAATGAAGGTATCCTCTGTCTCACCACTGCAATCCCAAGAGCACGGTGATTACAAAACCTTTCAAAATTTGGCATAATAGAGCAGAAGAAAGGTAACTCAACAGGTTTCATTTTCTTTACCTGCGATGACTGGCCATCACACCCCAACCAGCCTTCTTGGACATTCTCACAGCTTCAATACTCTCAGTCACAGATCCAATTTGGTTAACCTGTCATTTAAGCAAGCTAAGCAGTTAGTTATGTTCCTGACCAGTACCAATGAATCACAATTTCAGTTATCTTAATAATTCAAGCAATTACCTTAAGAAGAAGAGCATTGCAAGTTTTCTCGTTGATTGCCTTTGCAACTCTCTGTAATCAAGTTAGAAATGCTAAAGTAAAGATATGCTAGACGCAGACAGGTAGATTAAGCAGCAAAGACCACTCTTATAGGTATCAGATCAGCTGTCTTAGAAAAATATGATTTAGCTAACCTTGGGATTTGTGACCAAAAGATCATCTCCAACAATTTGTACTTTTTCACCTATTTCACAGGTTAACTTAGCGTAATGCTCCCAGTCATCTTGGTCAAAGGGATCTTCAATTGAAACGATAGGGTACTCAGCTACAAACATCTTGTAAAGATCTTTGAGCTGATCACCTGAGATCTTTTGTGAGCCATCATTATTCTGCAAAGAAAGACCAGAAATAAAAAAAATAAATGAAAGATATCAACACCTAGCAATTACATTCTAACGTAAAATAACGATACCAAACAGGATTAATTTCATTCAAAATAAGGTTGATTGCTGAAGAGCCAAATTTTGGTACCAAGCAGGTTCGCAAAACTTAACTGGCAAAAGCAAAGGTGATAACGCAAGTTATATTTTCTTGTACTATCAAAAAGGTTTTGGAATAACACAATGATCTAGTTGCCATCATTTCACTGAAATTTCTGCTCACTATCACCAAACATACTACTAAAGCAGCAAACATACTAAATAAAGAAGAAGAATGACCAAAAAGATATATGTCATGATTGACATTATCCCACCTTTAGAAGACTAGAATTTATGAATCTAGATGTAATTTTATCCTTTGGCTTAGCAATGAATTCAAATGTTTGACATAACAATCTGGGGGAAAAAGATGAAAAAGCAATACCTCTTCTTTAAAGTTTAGATCATAAGTCTTGTCTTTACCATAAAACTCAGAAGCAGCCACATCCATCCCAATCACAACCTGTAGCAATTTCAAACTATTCAAACTGATTTCTGTACCTAATAAATTATGAGAATTGGAACGTATAAACATCCATTCCAGTACTTACTTTACCAGTGTAACCAGCTTTAGCAATAGCTGTTTTAAGCAATTCAAGACCTTCCTTGTTCTCCT